AAAAAAACTCTTGTGTGAAATTAAAAAAACTATTTCATGGCGCCGGAGGATGAACGAAATTAAGTTTTCACACCAAAGATGGTGCGAATTCCCTTGGCGGTACGGTAATTCTTAAAAGTTCTGAATCTTGGCGCGTAACGAGCACTCCCAACTTGAATTGTCTGATGTGATGTATGTATGTATGTCCTGCCTTTCGCTTGTTGACGTTGATCATGGCCTTTCGCCCAGGCTTGCTTCCAAAACTTCCAAGCATGCTTCAACTGCTTCAAGTTTTAATGGTCTACACCAAGGTGGCAGGGGGCGCCTTGACATTCTGCTGTTGGTTGCCAGGTCAACTTGATTGCAGATCGCAGTGTGGAGTCCCAAGAAGGGCGATCAAAGCACGCAGACCTGCCCTTTCAAATTTATGAATGCAGCCGGTGTGCGAGCTGGCCAGGCTTGAAGATGGCGCTTCTGAGTCGCTTGAGTGTGGCACCCGATTCGCTTGGCAAGCGGAAAAGGGAGCTTGACACCCGATTCAACAGTCCCTTGAAAAAGCTGGCATCGAACGCCGCTATCAGAAGCGCTCTGACTACCTTTCCAGCTTCGCCTTACCTGAATCAGATTGCTAAGAACAGTCCTTCATCTGGCTTGGCAAGTGCACTGCAGTTGAGCAATAGAGTTTTACCTTCCACAAGCTTTGCCCCCAGGCCTTTGCGTTCTGTCTTCCAGCAGCCTTCTCCCATCTTCTATCCAGAGAGCATCCCCTCTGCCCTAAGAGCGCCTCCAGAGGTTTCAACCACAGCTGTCACGGTGCGTGCACCAAGCGGTCCAAGACACGCAAACGGAGATCTGGACTTGGGGCGCCTGGGGGGTGGCAAAGTCTCTGCAGAAGCATACAAAACTGCCAGGCTGCAGGCGCAGGTTCGGCAATTACAAGAGCGTCTTCACATGGTCCATGAAGAGGTGGTCCACTTGCAGAATCATGTCCGGGGAAGTCAAGAGAAGAAACAGAGTTGGTACGGGGACATCCTTCGAAAAGTGCGGGAGAGTGCCGATCTGCGGAGACAGGTGACGGGAGTACATACGGAAGCAAGTGCAGAAAGAGGTAAATCAAAGATGTCAGAGCGTGAGGATGCAGAAGGGACTTCCCATGGGCTGTCTGAAGCAAGGGAAACTGCGGAAGATCGAGGTATGAACACGCAGACTACAACATATGTTGCATGATTGTCATTGCTTGTGATTTTGTTGCCAGGAGGGTTGGCAGCTCGGAATGAATATTGCCCAATGCTCAGCATGCAATGGATGGACTGCTGCCCAGGTGACACTGCTGACCGGCGGTGCGCCTTCAGTCCGCTTTGTGACGATTGCGAGCGCCACCGCTCAGCGCACTTTACCACCACTCATCAAGTTCTTCTTGGCAAGCAAGTAACCCTGCCAATCTCCTGAGCAGCTTTCTTGCAATTGCCTTTGTCAAACACATTTAACCCTGGTGAAGACCTGTGGACTAGTATGGTTCCTGCCCTTTTGGATTCAGGAGAAGCTGAAGGCGGGGCTGGGGGCGGGGCTGAGCGCCCCAGCAAGAGCCTTTCTGGAGCCGCAGAAGTGGCCTCGGTGTCCACCTTCTTACAGCGACTGCGTGACTTGAGGCTGGATGACCACAAGCAGCGGTCGCGCGACCTGGAGATCCAGCTCAAGGAGGCTGAGCTGGCAGTGCAGAAGCAGCAGCGCCTGAGGGATGAGGAGGAGGTACGACCTTGCGCCCCCGGCTAGGGCACTATGAGGACTTCGAAGCTGGCTTGTGTGGCTTTCCACGGCTGTTCTGAAAAAGTCCGACTTACTGTTGCATGCCCTCATTGTCCTTCAAATATAATCACAGATTGTTCCTTTAGGCACACCAACGTTGACTTTGACAACAGCACACGCCTGGCGGCCTTAGATCCCAAACTAGACGGGCATTATTTGGGTACACCAGACTGCGACTACCGATGGAGGTTGCTGGGTTTAGACTTTGATGTATCGAGTGCCCACTGACCTCTGTTGCATGTGTCCCAGGTTGAGGAGGAAGAGGAGGTCACTGAGGAGCTTGAGGAGGAAGAAGAGGTTACTGAGGAAGTGACTGACGAGGAAGAAGAGGAGACAGACGAGGAGGTAGAAGAAGAGGGATATGTGAGCGGACAACTCTGGAGGGATCCCTCAGAGTTTGTGAACCCTCAAACGATTACACTGAACATCGTGCACAGAGGGGATTGTGTGAGGCGCGCCGATATCGTGATTTCCAACGGAAGTTGGATGCCAGCTCAAAGCCTCTCAGAGGAGATAATCTTAGAAATCGTTGGCCCATTGGCTATGTATGTGAGTGGACCCGACTTAAGGAATTGCTTTAACGGTAGTTTATTCAAGCAAGCATGCGAATACCTCCTTCTGCAGGTTGCGGTGCCCTTAACCGAAGAGGATGACGAGTTGGTGGACGAAATATTACACAATCCCCCCAGGTGAGATCTCAACACCCGCACAGGCACATTAAGCATTGATTTCTTGAAGCTTCGGAAGTGCGTTTATATTTGACCTGAGAAAAGCATTCTCCTCGCAAAGTTCTGGTTGCATTTTGATCAGTTTTAAGGAAAGCATCTTCGTGCCACACATTCTCATGGGCCCATAACCGTCCAAACTACGGGAAAACGAACGAACGAAAGCTTTCGACTTCGATGCTGTGTTCATATGATGAAGACTTGCTTCGAAGAGCTTGCTCAAGAACACAATCCTGATGCTGTCTCGCGTGCAGCGACGAAGTCTGCGTCGCCCACGAGCGCTCCAGCCTCCAGATTACCCAGGCCCAGATGCAGTGCTTACGCCCCGACATGTGGCTCAATGATGAGGTGCGTCTGGCCGATCACAATTTCTCCGGTTTGGTCAAACTTTGCGACTTCGTTTCCAGGACTCTAGTGTCCAGATCTGATTGTCCCTGCGTGTGTTGACTGCCGCACGTGCTGCAGCAGTGTTCCTTGACTCAACATTGAACTAGTATGGGATTCGCACCCCTTCTCAAAAGGGTCCACGTGCTTTCTCGAAGTGTTGCCCCTGAGGGAGACGCTCTCTCTGACAGATGCCGTCACCTGATTTGCTCCAGTCGTCACAAAGGAACGAGGACAGAAAAACCGAGCCTTGGGTGTCGCCTTGTGCGCAGGTGATCAACCTGTACATGGTGCTGCTGAAGGAGCGGGAGAGCCGCGAGGACTTTCAGGAGGAGGGGCTGCATCCCGTGTGCCACTTCTTCAACACCTTCTTCTACAACAAGGTCAGCCTTCGCCAGCACTTGAAGGGTATACGTTGCTTCTGTTGTGCTCGGCTGGTCGAGGAAACAAACCGGGGTCCGAATTCACTGCCAAAATGCGACAAGGTGAAATGAAAGAGGTTTGTACGGTGTGGACTTGCTCATGGCAGGTTTATCATGTCCGCATACCTAACCACCAACAGACGGAGTCACAGATCTACTTCCACGAGCGTTTGAACTGCTATACGCGATCAGCTTCTGTGCCTTTCTCACGCCGCCTGCCTCCCATACTTTCCGTACTCGTTCTATCGTCTCTCAGCGGTGTCAACCACTCGGTCAGGGGCGTTGCTTCGCCCCCCCCGCCCCTCGACTCCGCTTCTGACGAGACTTTGTCGAATGGGTCGTCAATAAGGGTCGCTAATGCTCACACTGGGAAGACTCTTCTCACGTGGGCCTCACTTCTCTTTGTGTACAAAGCTCACGGTCCGTCCATGCCGCGTGCAGCTTCGGATGGATGCGCAAGAGTACGAGTACAGTCGAGTGCAGCGGTGGACGCGGCGTGTCAAATACAAGCTGGCCAAGTGCGACAAGGTGAGCTTCAGTGTCTTTCGTTCGTCGCCCTTATCCGAGAGCAGCAATTACAAGTACGGGCTCTCTATCGCTATACGTCTCTGCCCACGAGCTTCGGTTGATAAGCTTTGTTGTGACGATGTCGACGTGCAGGCCGATACGAAAGGTTCACAAGTGCACATAACTCGTGCGGAAGTGCCGCCACTTGTCCCTCCACCATTTCCGCTTGATTGAGGGTACAAATTACACATCTTCATTTCATCCGTTCTCCCTTACGTTTGCTGTTACTTCGCGTGAAACTTACTCTAAGAAAACGGACTGTCGCCATGGAATAGCATCTGCTGTTTGGACTGTCGAAACGGGTTCGAGTGCTCCGTCCAATTTGCCGTGTGGCGAGTAATGCTGTGCTGTGGTGGCAGGTGATCGTGCCCATTCACCAGGGCATCCACTGGGCGCTCGCCGTGATCAACTTGCGGGACCGCCGGCTCGAGTACTTTGACTCCGTCTGCGACGGCGCCGGCTTCCCCTTTTCAACAAGAGCGTCGCCCGAGACGGTACTGGAGGACTTGGTGAGAACTGCTTCCCCCAACCCGTTGCATCAATCACAGGATTATATTTGCGTAGCGTGCCTGCTGACGGTGAAGAAAACCCTGAACATTCTGATGACACATCTAGAGCTACTATTAAAGGCCTCGAGAGCGTGGGAACAAAGAATAGAATGCTTCGAATTGTTGACATTCTAACGCAACCCCTTGGCCAAGGAATAGGGGCTAGCGCTGCTCGTTCCACCGCGGCTCTTATTTGCTGGAGTCTTGTTCACGAAAGTTCGCCTGCGGCGATCTGTAACACGGGTCAGAGATGGCAAAAAGGATCATTAATCTACATGGCACTTGCTGGCTGTGTTTGAAGATATGTTCCCGTCCAAGTAGGTGCGGTTCCCTTTTTGATTAGCCAACTTTCCCCACGCTGAAAGAGATTTCAGTCCTACGCAGCCTTCCTGTGTTGCCACTGCTCAGACCGTTTGCCGCAACATGTGCTACTTTTCGTGCGACACTTTGCAACAAGTTGTCACCTTTGAGACCTCGTCAGAACGGTAAACCCAACGCACTGATGGCAATCGAAGTTATCCGTGCAGGCCCAGTATATTATGGACGAGGCGGAAGACAAGGGCACCGGCCCGATCGACACCAGTGACTGGGAACGGGTTTACCACACGGACAAGCCCCAGCAAGGAAACAAGTAAGCTACCACAACGGAACTATTTTCTCCAATCAGCCGGCGGCCGAGGCGCCGGGTTAAGCCATCCAACCATCCTAGTTACAGAAATCAAATTTCGTCAGCGTCCTGATTTGCAATCGCGTCCTGGGCGATCCCGAGATCAGTCTTAAAAGGTGCGTTTTCGAAAATTTTCCGAGCTTCTGGTACAACTACTCGTGAAGACCGATCTCGGGTTGCTGGGGTTGACTAATACGTGCCCTTCTGTGCAGTTCCGACTGCGGGATGTTTATGCTCAAGTTCGCTGACTTCGTAAGCCGGGATGCCCCAATTACCTTCTCTCAGGTAGGTTGCGAAGTCGTACCTTTCCAAACCACTAGTTGGGAGTGACGGCGAATGTGCTCTAGATGTTGATTGTTTGGGTTGATTCCTGCTGACAAGGTAAATGCAGCCTTCAAATATCTCTCCGATGCAGAGTAACTGCGGGAGAGATGCCCCTGTCCTCGTTCTCCGAAACATGTTGTATTGCTTGCATCATTGTCAATGGAAAGGCGCCTCTCATGCTTTTCAATCGATCAGAGACGTTTTGCCAAAGTCGATCCTCATTGTCTTCTGCAGAAAGAGATGTGGTACTTCCGACGGAAGCTTGTCGTTGAGTTGGTGCACAAGAGGGCGGACTGAACACGATTTGACGATCACCATTGGTCAGAGGAGCCCATGCGCCAAGCCAGAACATGCAACTCTGGCCATGGAGTTTTAGTGCCCGATTTTGTGAATCGCTGGCCACCGACTCCTCTTGAAAGTAACTCGTCAACCCCTGCCAAAGCGTTGAGCAAGGGAGATGGAGGCAGTGCTTACGTTAGGGCATAGCGTCAAGCAACTCTTTGGCCCTAGTCAAGGCTAGGCTTGAGCAGATGAAGAGCCAAGCGCGGAGTCTCAGGTTACCATGATTCTTACAGTATTTGTGAGTGATTGGAACCATGATATTATGCACGCGCCGACCATGCAGCCTCAATGGGTCGCTGTATCTGTACCTTCTGGATGACACAGTTCATATTGCATTATCTTGCGCACCTGCAAAGTTGCACATGCAATCATATTCGCCTCACTCTAAAAGCTGTCCAGCTCATCAAGCACTGATGCCGGGAGCTGAAGATATGCAGTGTCCAGTTGCATACAATTGATGACAATGATCATCCGAGGCTCAGCATGTATGCCGCTCAGGCTAAGTTTCACAGGAGTCTTGTGCATAATATCATTCATTTAGCCTGGCGCAGCTGCATTGCTCAGGCTGACCGGCCGTTCAATTATAGGCTAGAATTACGTACGCGCGCTGGCATGATGATTTGACTTGCCGCCTAGATCAACTAACTTAACGCCCTAGCTGCGTATAATAAGCTTACTAAGCGGGTATATCGAGCTATAGGCCATACTAGCGTTTCTTTGGGCAGCGCGACGTCCCTGTAGCCTGCAAAGTGGAAATGGTACAATTGAATACGATCGAGACGTACGGCCACTAAGTATGATGTCATAGCGTTTAGGTCAACGCGCGGTGCCCGTGCCTGCATCACCGGGCGCACGGAACGGTCTAGGAACCTTACCGAGTAATGCGCACATGGACATGCACCTCACATACAATGCATCGCGTCGTAATGATATTGATCAGGCCCACAGGATGCTGGCATGCACACTGACGTACATACGCAGGCTCTTCGTCGGAATACGATGTGTACGTACTGGCATGTCATGATTCCTGAGTACATACTATGATAGGCAGACCAAATGTAGACGCGGCCACCCAAATGTAGACGCGCCCCGGCACACCAGAGTGCAGCGGGGGCCCTCGTATTCTTGCAGCAGGACGGTCAAAGGTCGAGCGAGGGCGCCCGGTCATCAGGCTTCCGATCGACACCGTTGTCAGTATCCTGTAGCGGCATGTATTCGACCAGCGCTTTCGGACTCGCAACACAACTATCAATCTCAGTGTTTGCATCCCTGCCAGCGAAATAGTAGTGCTTCTTTTCCAAGGTGCTATTCCTTTGGTCTTAGGACGTCTATGCCCCCCATGAAGGGCCGAAGCACTTCCGGAACCACGACCGAGCCGTCTTCCTGTTGGAAGTTCTCGAGTATGCAGATAATCATCCGCGGAACGGCGCACGCGGTGGCGTTCAACGTATGCACAAACTCGAGCGGCGGCTGCTTCGTGGCCCCCTTCCCCTTCTTGCCGGCTTGAGCGCTGTCTTCGTTGACGGCCGGCCGATACCGGATGTTCAATCGCCGGGCCTGGTAGTCCGTACAGTTGGACGCACTGGAAATCTGCAATTGAAGCAAGGACCCTGAGTATCATCTCTAGTCAGCGTCCACAGGCATACTGCATAAGGGGCGAGTAAGCCCGCTTGTTCGAGGGCACTCCCCAGCATTTCCCAAAAGCGATTGTCTGCAATGTGGCTTCACCACCAAGATATGTGTTACCCTGTTGCGCATTTGCAATTTTGAAAACAGAAGCGTCATCCTTCAAGGGCGATAATGGAGCATAACGCACCTCCCCGTATTTGTCTAGCCCCGGCATCCATGCTTCGACGTCGTACTTTCGATACGCTGGCGCCCCCAGGTCTTCCGATGGCATGTCGAGGGTCCTGCAAGGATGGGCAAGATGGACGCGGGTCACACCAAACCGTTATATCACGGTCTTGAAGATTTCGCACACCCGCGAGTGGATCTGAAGGAGTCTGTGTCGTCTCGATTGGTACTGATTCATAAAGAAACTACGGTCGTCGACGAACCTAGATTTCGGTGGGGCCTTTGAATTTGACCATCGGACATCCCTGCGCTCAACGCAAGACGGCCCACATCGAGAATGCTCAGTGCGAAAAGCGGGCTCTTAAAGGCCAGCACATTCCTGGCCGATCACGAATGCATAGATTCCATCGGATAGATATCATCGGACAACCGAAAAGCAAGGTACTGATTGAAGCTCGGGCATTAAGTGACTTCTGCCAGAACCATCCCTTCCATCCTTTTGCCTGTCTCTCCCTTTCTAAAGTCCAGTGTCATCTGAGGCGGTTCACGGACAAGCGAGCCGTTTGGAGCGCACTCATTTGCTGCAACTCGCTTCTGGTAGCGCATACCAACTTTCCAACAGAGAACGTTCCAGACCTCAGAAAAGTTAACCTCAAAAGGTTGACCGTCTTACAATCCAAGTTTGAACACAAGCAAGTTGCAGAAGCAGAAGCCGGACCGAGGCCCAGGGGTGCTCGCGCTTACTTGAAGTGCAGGCCCAGGCTTTCGTACATATCCTCCTCTAAGGATATCAGCTCTTCATGGAGCGCGTCGCTCTGCTCCGGCGTGGCCACCACAAACATCTCCACCTTGCTGAACTGGTGCACCCGGTACAGTCCCCTGGGCACATTGAGAAGCACAACGATGAGCTGGAGACCCTGAGGGCGGTTCAAAGCCCCGGGCAGTTTCCAACGAAGCGGAGGCGTCGAGAGCTCAGACGCATTCGCTTGAGCTCAGACCCCAAGACGCTGCTCAACGTGGGGTCCTTTGATTTGGGGCTGGTTGGGGATAGTAGGTGGCGGACGATGAGGACGATTAGGAGGTGACAGGCATACTGGTCGCTTGGGCGCGTAACTTTCCAACCGCGTTCGAGCTTCCCAAAGTCCTGCGCAAAAGCGCTTCCGTTCGCACCTGTTTTCCCGCCCTGCCGCGCCCGCCTCCGTCCTGAAGCAGTGGCTGAAGGCGACGGTCTTGATGGGCAGCTCCGCTTCCGGGATGATCTTGTCCATGAACAGACCGCCCACCGGAATCTCGGCCGTGCCGGCCAAGCACAGGTCCGAGTCCTGGACCGTGTAGATCTGCAGCCGGGCGAGAAAGCGGGGCACTCAGAACAACCGCCTTGTGTAAGGTGGGGCCCTTAGAAGTGAGCCGACGGGAAGGGCTAATAGAAACTGTGGAGGCATTAAGTGGGGAGGATTGGGGATGCGGATTTGGGTGGCAGAGTCGGGCTGGCACTGTGCTGCTTCGTCAATTTGTGAGAGCTGCAAACTGTCTCAACGCACAAAAAGCTGGCTGGTCAGCAAGACGATGAAAAACAGTGTCTGAATATCGGTAAGGCGGCCGGTCGTGCATTTCAAGGCCTCTACGGCTTTTGTCTCCTCAAGCGGCAGAACAGGGTCCCTCTGTAGAGCGCTAACGTGACAATCCTCAAAGCAAAAGGGCTCCTGTTACCGCGAAAGAGAGGGCCGTTTGGCAGGGCTGACCTGCGTGTTCTCGGCCCGTGGCTGGAAGCCGCACTTTTCGACGACGCCGCTGCGAACTAGATCGGGCGTGCTGAGCGGGGTGAAGCCCTTGGCGTACAGCTTCTGAATGGCCCAGTTGATCAGGCCCATCTCCAGCAGCACCGCCGCGTTCTTCAAGTAGTAAAACTTCTGACCGCTCACCTGGTAGGGGAGCGCGGAATCAGGTCAGAGCGAGGGGGGGAACAAGGGCAGAAGCGAACTGTATTGTTTTTCCGGGCCTTAGATTCTCCTGGCGAATCCTTTTGTATCCGGGAAGTTACTGAGAGCTTATCGCAGAACAACCTAAACGGCCAGCTGTGTGTCCTGGACATAGAAGCTCTTGGTCTGCGTAAAGGCTCTTCAAACCGGTACTTGGAATCGTAGGGTGAACGGGTGCAGGATGTAAATCCGTCATTTGCAAATCTGAGGCATTTCTGCCCTCCGGATGTCTCATGCCAACATATCAAGGAACTTCTCCTGGTTGATCCTGAAAGGTGACTGGAACTGATCAAGAACACCAGTGACAGCCTGAAAACCAGAGATGCAGGACATACGAGTCATAAATTGAGGATTTGACACATGGGCGGCGGAACATGGCTGCTGGAAGGCACCCACCTCGGCTGCAGTGTCAAAATCGAACAAATCCAGGCCCTCTCCGAGCTCTACATGATCTTTCACTGGAAAGGTGAACTCCCGCTGTTTTCCCGCCTGTCAACGCCACAAGATGAGGTAAGTGCACGACCGAAGACATTCAAGATTCGTTTCAGCATCTTCACACTTTGCGGCTCAGAGATTCCACAGCCCGCAAAACCAAAGCATCATTTTCACTGTCTGAGATCTCCTCAACGTCCCACATGCTCAAGATGGGTCCAAACCAGTATGGAATTCTTGTATTCCACAGCCAAAGTTAGCAGGACAAAGCCCACCTCTTTTCTGACCACCGACACCTCTTCGCCCCCCCGAGGGACTTCCGGATGCGTCAAGTTGGGTATCCGCTGCCCTTCTTTTTGAAGCTCATCCACCAAACTGCATCAGATAGAGGGAAGAACAAGTACATGACACAAACAAATTCTATGCACAATTGAAAGTTTCCTCAATTGGAAACTTTAAAAGGCTCACAGTGGCGGGTGCGCCACCGTTGCTGTTGCACCACCCATTTATAGAGCAACTTTCGACTCTCCCTCCACACCTTGTCTGAAAACTTGTAGTTCCTTCGAGAGGCGTTTAGAGCAGTATGTATGTGAGCACATCATTGCAAGCATGTACATTGACTGTACAGATTCAGAGACTCACTTTGCCAATTCTTCCTCCAATCGAGCTGAGTCGTCTTTCAAACGCTTCCCCTCGGCCACCAGCTCTTGCCTCCGCTCAGGATCAAGCTTGCCCTTCATTTGAGCAGCGTTGGCATTCCTAGCTGCCCGGAGGTCGTCAACTTCCTGCACAGTCAGCGGCATGGTCCTACTATTAAACAAGGCTGCGTAATTTCCACCAGAAGCAGTGCAATCATATCCATAAGTCACTGTTTCAGCACCTTTTTTTGGGCAGGATAAGCTGACTATTGATGGGGCAACAAAAAAGAGTTGTGCTAGCACGTGCAGCTCACAGGATCTGCTGATGCTATACAGAGCAAGAAGAAGTTTTGGAGTTCTCACTGTCTTCATCTTCACAAACTGGTCGTACAGCGCCACCACGTTTGCAGCATCGCCCCCCGACTTCCGCTCCTCAATGTTCTTGGCCACGAGGTCCACATTATCTCGGATGAACTTGAAGTCAATCGCCGCTTTCCACGACGGCCTCTCCGCCGCTTGCAAACTTGGCACAGAAGGGGCTTTGGTTTCAGGCTCTAGCGTCGCAGCTGGCACAGCAGTGCCAGTGGCCTGAGCAGTGGTTGTCCGAGGACGGCGTGAGGAAGGAAAAGACTTGGGTTTCAGGTCGGGAACAAGAAACAGCTTGGGCCGCAATGAGGACACATCAGACGCAAAAGCAGATTCGCATTTCCTGAGCGCCAGGGAGTGGTGGCACGCTTGAAGGTGCCGGGTTGCTAACTTGCTCAACCTCAGTGCGCTGTGCCGGAGGGCAGCCTGTGATGCTAGTGCCATGTCTGATCAGGGAAATTCCTCTGCTGGCATCTCACTACGTTGGCTGCTGATCAAAGATCAGATCAAGATCGTCACTGGGCCTCCGCACCACCACTGCACCACCACTGGATTTTGGAAAGTGTGACCCGACAATGAGAAGAAAATTTGAAGAATGACCTTTGCAGGTGACCATCATGGTGAACGTCTTGGATCAGAACTAGACGACGCATGCTTGTAATCACTTGAGAGCCCGCTCATTCGGGAAATCAATGGGCTGTTCGATCTTGAGCTTGGTACTTTAGACGGCCTCGATTTGGTGAAAGTTCTTGTTTTAACTTTTTACTAAGACTCAGAGGCCAGGCTGAACTTTCAAGTTGAAACCCAAAAGCTTTCGGCAACAGGTCGCACCGCCGATCATGCGGCGCGGCCGCGGCCCCGGCGCGGGACAGCACACTGGGCCCGCCGGCCGGGGCCGGCGCGCTGAAAAGCGCACGCGCGGGCGGCCGGCGCGGCCCCTAGCCACCGTGTGCAACGTACGTACTACCGGTAGCTAGCAGCTAGCTGCAGCTGGCGCATTGTAATCATTGGCCTTTGAGGCTGAAGCCGTGCGTGAAGGCGCTACTTCAACCTCAGTTCAGGATCTGGATCCAATCATAGTCTAAAGCATTGCGCCTCTTTGGGAAGAGATCCTTTTGCGGAGTATAGAACTCAAATGAGTAGTTGGTTTAGAGCACCAGCGATGGAGGGCTTCCGTGTTCTGGAAAGGGAATGAATAACGTCTGCAAGCTGCCAGTATTTGTATGTACATATCCAAAAAGGATTCAGAGTTGAATCGAAACAAGTGAAGTTCAGACCAGCTAGCAAAGGGTTCCAGACCTTCAACAGCGCTAGGAATGTAGGCATAATAAGAGAGGGGGCTAGGGTTTTCATTCAGGTTTTGCACCATCTAAAATAGCAACAACCTTCTTGCAAAGTACTGCTTTTGCCGAATCTTGCAATTGCCAAAAGCTACCTTGAATAATTTGCAGCCTCAACGCAAGCACCATTGGATGGAACACGAGACGGCCAACGAAGTTGAGTTGCCCTTGGAATGGGGAGACGGACTGCGGCTGGTAGATATCGCTCACGGAGCCAGGTTCTGAAGTTGCAGGCCCACTTCTTGTAGAGAAGTGGTGCATCTGGGAACTTGAGAAACAAACTGGTTGATCAGATGGCTTCATTGATTGCCTCTTCGCTTGTGCATCTCGAGAATGTGTAGCGAGGTCTTGGCCCCAGAGAACCAGCCTATATTGATAACAGGTTCCCCCGGCCCTATGCTGTCGGTGGGGCGATACCACTCTGTATCGCGCTTTCGCAAAGCAGTGCAGCGCCAGTATCGCACTACAGGCCGGCAGAAGTTCTTCACCTGCGCAAGCTTTGCTTTAGGTCAGACACCGATTTAGGCTTGTTTTAACCTTTGTCCGTCCATCAGTCTTGACATTATTTGCAATCACAGCCTTTTGTGCTGCCACTCACATTCTGCAAACCCCTGCTTAAAGTGGTGGTCAAGCTGAATTGTCGTGGCATCTTGAATTATTGCCTGGAATCGTTGGTACTGATATTGATCGAACCCCGCTGTTGACGGCTTCTTAATTCCTTCCTTCTGCTCGTGTGATGAAGTGCCAGGTCCTAGGTCATCCAGTCTCACCTCACTCCTTTCTATGCAGGGTTGGCTCTACTACTCTACATTCTATCGTATACAATTCCAGCAGGATTGATAATTGTTTCTCAAAAAGGAGCGCGCAAAGAGCATGGACTGGCACAAGGAGGAATTGTTCAGAACAAAGAAGGACACGGCATGTTGAGGGTCAGTGTGATGGAGGCTTGTCAGAGCCTAGAAGAGCTCGTCCCCGGAGTCAGCCTTGAGAATCAAGACTTGATTTGTTGCAAAGATAGCACGCAACAGTTTTCATGCCTACAGTGGGACCCAACTTCTTCAAGAGCTGCGATCTCCAGCCTCCCTTGCGAAAGATTGAACGATGATTTTTGTGGTGAGTATCTCTGTCTGCCAAACGCCCAATTTTGATTGTATACAACAAATGCGCATACCTGATGTACTTTGAGATCTGGTCAGAAGCAAGGGCAACAAAGAAGGGCTCTTCCTGGCACAAATGGTTTGAATATATGCGGCTTCTGATAGAATTTTTGCTGTCATCACAACTTTGTTGCTAGGTTTTTAAAACCCATCCGATCTACTGCAGATTGCATGGATGGTACAGACGAGCCAAGTACTACGGCATGTTCAGGCTTTGGAGGTAGGTTCGAATGTAGAAAGTCACGAGAATTGATACCAACCTCACTCGTCAACGATGGAGTTTGTGATTGTTGTGACGGCTCTGACGAGTTCAGCACAATGTCAAAAGCCTATGGGAAATGTCCACATCGTTGTCTAAGAAGCGACTCGAAGTAACTGACAACATTTGAAGCATCATTGTAAGGTGCGTCAATTTGCCGCGCATCACATCATGATCTGTCCGACCATCAATGAGAGTCGCACAGACCCGTCGCATTAAGGATCTAGCTACTTTCATGGGGCGGTTTGTACCGGCAACTTCTCGGCATGCCAGTTGTGACAACCCCCTTTGCCCGCCATGCCGCTAACCATCATGGCATGGACACAGCCGGCCCGGGCTATCATGGGCTGCTGAGTCGTAAGTTGGCGGCAATGTGCGCATGGTGTTCTCCTCAAATGATGGATTGTTGCCACAAAATCAGACTTGTTGTGAATTATCGTTTGTGACTGCCCATAGTTCGAGATGATTCACCCGGGTCTCGGCGAAGTTCTGCTTATGTCCAACAGGGTATACAACGACCGTTCGACCCAATCTGCATGCCAAATCAACTACCGGACCGTCGAATGTGCCAGCGGCATTGAGAATCTAAATTAAGTAATTTGAAGCTGGCAACCGTGAACGGTTTGTAGGCCCCGGAACATGGAATAATGGAATACGGAATACCCATTTTTGGAAGCGAAAGAATCCGGAATACCCAAATTTGGGCCTTGGAATACTAGAATACAGAATACTGGGCTTTTCCGAGCATACTACACAACATGTGGCAAACAGCGGCAGAATACTTGACTTCGAACTAAAAAGACATCCAAAAGCATGCTTCGAACGAAAGAAGATTGTAGAAAAACTCACACGACAAGCGCCCTCCTTACGTAGCTTCCAAAGTGTCACAAGACACATTTACGAAACGGAATACAGAATACTTGAGCACCTTGGAATACGGAATACTCCCTTTTTTGGAACCTTGGAATACAGAATACTGGGGGTCAAGTATTCCATGTTCCGGGGCCGAGGTTTGATATAGAACGGGACAATAGTACAGCTCTAGATGTAAGTTTTATATTTTTTCAATGCGATAGCTCTGTTGGACGAGATTGCGGCCCCACCAGGCGTGCCGCCGTATCGATCATCACCATGAATCACGACAACCGTGTATCGAACACAGTGACACGTTTCTATACTAGTGCGATGGTCAGTGTCGGCGGTTATTTTTGACCAACTTCTATCGTCGTATTTCAGCCGTCGTCAGAAACGTGTCGCATGCACAAGCCTGACCTCGCACTATCCAATCTTATTAGTCAAAAATTAGTTGCACACATTTGAAGGCTGGGAACGCATGGACCTTCTGCATTCGAGTGGACACATATCGAGGGTGATTGCGTTGCATGTTATAAGGACGCGTAACTATAACGTTCAAAAGGTCGGTAGTAGCAGAAGCAGCTTGGATCGCGGCTTGCTATTACTCATCATACACACCTCAGCCAACCTGCAAACCTGATTCCAAATTGGACAAGGCAATCCACTACGAGGTGTGGCCAATGCTCTGCAAATTGTCTTCCATACAAAATCTGCAAATTTAGTTCTGGGACTCGGTTCATTGGACTCTAGAAGTTGAAATCTGCCATGTATGCCTCAGGTAGAGGGGCATTCGTTCTCTCTTCTGCGGGTTTGCTTGGTAGAGATGGACTTGGCACAGAGCTCGAAGTGTAGTCCGATAGTGAGTCCCCAGTCAGCTTCATCTCCTCATCGACTGCACAACAAGAATGGTGACAATGAATACCAATCATCCTACGAGGTTCAAGATTCACATGAGTACGGGACACCACGTGCTGCCAGAGTCAGAACCCCTGAGAAGTCACAACCAGTTAGCAACTCAACAACTGTAAATGGTGCGTGTACCAAGCTGTCAGTCTGGTGGCCCTCCCTTCCAAACGTCAACACAGCTACACCTTAGTGACAACAACAGCACTTAAACGAGAAGGTCATTTTCCGCCTTAAAAGCGATTGTGAATGAGCGCAGCTACTTTGCAACAGTAATACAGATGCTTCGACAAAAGGGGGTCGCAGTATCGAGCTAGATTGAAAAGAGTATACTCTCTGGCTGTGGGTTCACCAGCCTCTTGGATCTGCTCAAAGCGTTTACTAAGTGGTTACTTTGCTAGCAGATTCCCGTATGCAGAATTTCAGATGCACCAAGAAAGACAATCAACCTCGTAGGCGCACGTCCGTCCGCAACAATCTGTGGCCTGAGCTGTTGCGGCGAATGATTGGCACGTTACCAGAACAAAAAAATTCTAGGGGGGGAAAATCCTGATACAGATTTCATCCTGGAAACTGTCAGGAAACCATGTTCTGAGCTTCAGCGTAAGCTTCTGAAGTACCTGGCAACGAACTACAACGTCTTTTAAACATAGGACCAGTTCGGGCAACACCACTCAGTGATTTTGGTGTGCAACAGTACGTACAGACAGTGCTATCTGCCGTCAAGACATGCTGTACCAAGAAAGTACTGCATATACCTTTTCAGTCCAACTCTTTGCTAACCCGAAGATGCCCTTGACTTGTAAATGTCCAACCAGACTTTCGATTACAGACGTTCCAACCAGAATACCAGTTCGAGTGCTCGTCAAAGTGCATCTATGATGCGCACAGTAAAACTCAAGCAAAGTGTCTGATTGGATGCCGCTTTCCAGCTTTCCGGAAGGAGGGACCTACGGATTTATTTTTAGGGTTCTGGGCACAATGCCGCTTTCAGACGCAGGAACCGAACTTTGCGATTGTCACAGCATTGCAAACTTACAACAACCAATTACAGTCAACGAAATTCTTTACACCGTAAAGTCCTCGACCTGAAAAAACCACCAACTGGTCGCTTTTGATTTGTAACTCGAATAGACGCTGCACATTCTTCTGCGCCACCAAGACATCAAGAATGCGGACATCTTGTCAGCACCTCCCCCAAATAACCCGCTTCCCATGTGGTTTGACCAAATTTTTGGACCTGAGGCCGATTCGAAGCCCTTGATTCCAACAGAAGCAGGTTACCACCACCATCGCCAGGACCACGGCAGCTCTCTTGCAAAAAGTTCCACTTACCAAAGTCAAATGCAGGGTGTTTCAGAACGGCCTCTAGCAGCTGCGTCCCTCGCAACGCGTTGGTAAGCGGGAGGTGGCCCGTTGGTGTCTCTGCATCCAACTTCCACAGGAAGTCCAGCGGAAACTTCCTGTAATCCCTGCGCTCCCCGACGGTCCATCCAATCTTCTCAAAGAAGACCTTCCATGACCGCTTGGCCGCCGTCCAGATCTTCCTCTGCACGCTAAACCCAAACCGGCCATTGCTGTACGCCTTCCAGAGCCTGTCGATCGTGTCTATGTCCGTTTCCGGGATGAACTGCACTTCCGTGAAGTAGACCCACTTCCGCTTCACCGCCCCTTCGCCGGCGAGTACGCACATTAACCGCCGGGTCTCGTTGTCTGCTTCCTCCCACTCCCCCGCCGCAAGCTTGTCCCTCAGAAGCTCATAGCTGACGCCCATGTCAGATTTGAGGGGGACCTCCTCGACATTGCTCACCACCTCCTGCTGCACATTTGCTTCTGCTGCCACGCTGACCGCTCGCCGGCGCCCTATCCTCCTTGACCCTCCCAGCTGTTTCCGCGCAAGCTCGACCGGAATCTGTTTCCTGTTACAGAGCCTGCTTGCAGCAGGACTTGACACCTGCTGCTTTTGACTGCAGGACGGGATGCCCCTCAGCACCGCCCATGACCCCTCCTGCGAACAAGCCCCTGCAGTGCCCTGCTGCAACGAAGCTGTTGCAAAGGAGTGACTAGCGACCGCTGCCTCCAAGCGCGCAGCGGCAGCCATGTTTCGCTCTGAGAAATAAAGAGCGCAACCCTACAGGTCCAGCCTACTTTAGGAATGTCCTCTAAGGTTGCTGCGTGAATCTTCACAAAGCTGGCAAAAGATACTTTGACAAAAGATTCACTGATATGGAAGTCTGCAACGTTCGCCGCAGAGGTCAATGCCGGCACTTTTCTGGCAGCCAACGAGTCAACCTGGGAACGACCTGTCTACCTCAAGTCCAAAATGAGCGACCTTGTCGGACCAGAATCCCCTCTCGTCCAAGCGACATGTACCTGAATTTTACTGTTGCCACCCTGCGCCAGCTAGAATGCGTCTTCCTTTCCGTCGAACTTGTGGTTTGTGGCTTCTCCCCAGAAACGATATTTGATTGGCCAAAAGCAGATTTCTTTGCTGCACAAAGACCTCATCTTGTCCGTCCACACTCTGAAAAGTGCAATCCATCGACGGCATGATTCAGTTCGGACACCTTGAAAGTTGACTCACGAGTACATTCGGACGCCATGATGGCCTGGCGGACCCTGACAGGCTGCCGCGCCAGAGAATGACCAGTTCAATCTGATCGATTGCAGTGCACTGAGTGTGCACAGTGCAGAACAAATTCGGACGCGTCCGGCAACCCAGCCTCACAGATTTTATGAGGAATCTCTCATATTACCCAAATCTCGGAAATGGTATTGAAGCCATAAGTCAATGACAAAAGTTCCATATTGGTATGAGAAATTCAATAGAGTCTATGAGGAATTTGGCTGCCGCCGGCGCGAATATGTGCATCCCGGTGTGCTGCCGCCCGGCGGGCCCCGGGCTCAGCAACATATCCACAGCGAGGTATCTGCGCCGTCCGATCGGCAGTGCAGGGCTTAATATCGACCGTGCAGGACGACCGAAGCGACCGTTTTGACCCACAAAGAATTGCGCGCCGCGACCGTGTGGATTGCAGTACATAAGGGCGGCGCCCCTTATTGGAGAGGGCGGCGCCCCTTATTGGAGGGGGCGGGGTGGTGGTACCCGACGGCTTGCCCCGGGTGCCACCAACACTGCAAGTCCACTAGCATTAGGGTCTCGCACACCGCCCGGCGAGCAACCGGGCCCTCCCTGTGACATTAGGGTCTCGCGGGCAACCGGGTGACAACCGGGCACTTTCCAGTGACATTAGGGTGTGGCGGTCACCTTATCCTAGGTTTTTAGTGTGCCCGGTACTTCCCTGTGACAACCGCCCGGGGACTCAAATTCACCATAAGGCCTGAACAGATTCTCCATACCGAACTGGAAGTTTCGTCATTGGCTTATGGCTTACTTCCCAATTGCCGGACTTGGATAATATGAGAGATTCCTCATAATAGCTGTGAGGCTGGGTTGCGTCCGGAGGGCCAATGCCACCGGGCCGGCCCGCGTGCTCGGGCCGGGCAGCCCGGCGTTCCTGTGGAGCCGCCATCATTCATGACCATCGACCATAGCCTTAGGTACCAAACTTGTATAGCACTCAGGTGCCGGCAGAAGGGCCTAGCCAAACATCTGAATGTGAGGAGCACCGTGGCGGCAGCTGCTCTTTGTCTCTTTGTGGCGGGTGTAAAGTTGAATCCTCCAGGAAATGAGTGTGTACATAGCGACAGGGGCTTCCGGGACCCATTGAGTGGCATTGGACTTGAGGTGGTAGCAAACGATCCCTTAAGTGCCGTTCCTAACCGTGTTGGTTTGGCCTAGCTGATCTAGGGGCTACAGAGCTGTTAGGTGCGCACGGCCCATTCATTGGCAGCTCGCCAGCTCTCTCCGCTTAGTTTTCACTAATTAACTGCTACTTATTGCTGGGTGGGAGAATTGGATCATGGCAGATGCGTCGACCACTTCCACCACCACCAGCACAAGTGGTCGCCGGCTGGAGAACGGGAGAGTGCTGTATGGCACAACAAAGGAGCATTGCGAGAGCATGATCGAACACTCTTTGAAACACAGTGAGTCAGTTTTGAGCCGATAATCTCGCAGGTGGTGGTATAAATTTCCGGTGGACGAGCAAGGGAATCCGGTGCTGGCAAAAACTCAACAAACACAAGAGCTTCTTGCCTCCAACGTTGAAGGATCGTGAAAACATCCTTTAAAGAAGCTGGCAGAGAGATCTAACCTTTCAGGACATCACCCTGTCAAAAGCGATTTGCCTTACACTGGTGCCAATGTATGCGGAACTCCCCTGTGTATGCAGACAATGTCATCAAGTTTCTGAGAGAAGCCATGGAGAAGGCAGGCTGCCCCGTCGGTGACCGTTTCTTCTCCGCCATGAATTGCATGATGAATGCTGGTGGTGGATTTATGCCAGAGGGGGAGGGGGTGAGCCGTTTGAACCACATACTCTCTGACTCATGCAACAGTGTGTTAAACAGACTCTCTGATTGCGCTACTGGTCCAGGCCAAACCGGATATCAGTACTTTCAAGTTTTTTGGCAGATGCTGACTCGTTTTGTCAGCATCTGTGAATGATGATGGCCAGACAGTTCCCCATCTGACAGGGCATAGATCCTTTCACCTCCACTTTCTAAGAGCTTGCGTACAAGCATCGAAGGACGGAAGGACCTCTTGGATCCGATTGACTCACAGAGGGCCACATCTGCCGCTCCTATAGTGCTCAGGAACTTTCTTCACAACTGGCGCACATGTTCGTTTGTTGGTCAACCTTTGAACCGGTGAAGGCTGCTGTTGATGGACTATTGAACCTCGAGCCCCCTGACGAAACGTTCAATGATAAAGACATGGTCCTGGGTGCAAGCAGATCAAGATCTGCTACAACAACGTCGTCTACCAGGATGAGGTGGACACAGGACTGGCACACGAGCTGATCCATGCATACGACCAATGTCGAGTGGCAAAACTAGACTGGGAAAACGTCCACCACCAGGCGTGCAGTGAGGTGAGCCACTTTCCAGCCGGCAGCATTGATGTCTTTCTCATTGGATCTAATGGACCCAGATGCATCAACCATGCAATATAGTAGGTCGCCGCTAGGGCGACTCGTCCTCATAGGTTATACCAGCCAATCGGAGGCATACGTTGACCTTCTGCCTTTAAAAGTGTAGCCATTTGCGTGTGGATGCCCATGCACATCAATGAATGTAGCTTCTTGGTATGGCCAGCCCTCGCTTGTACAAGAGTAATTTGAAAGCTGCGTTCAGTCATAATGGATGCAATTGAGTCGTCTGCTTCTTTACTGCGCAGATCAGAGCCGCGAATCTTAGTGGTGACTGCCACTTCAAGCGAGAAATAGCGAGGGGGAACTTCAACATACAAAAACAACATCAGGTGCGTCCTGCACAGACATCATTGCTCCACTTACACATCTCACAACCCGGTTTGCTGTTGCTCAACAAGCTTTTCCTCCAGAAAGTGCAACCTTGTCGAGCTCGCCATTATGTGGATTGCAAATTCGTTCACGATGCCTCCGACTGAACTGGAATTTGCCTCCGAATCCAACTGGCTCTCCATACATGCTTCTCCCTATTTGCATACAACCAACTCTAGAGAACATCGTGAGTGCAGGTCTGCGTTAGACGAAGAGCTGTACTTTCGGTTGCAACAAACCCAAACTGTACTTCCAAGCAAGCGGCTGAGGATGCGGTGGATGCAGTCTGGGCAAAATGTTACAAGGATACAGCACCATTTGATCGGATACCTTAATAGATAATCATAGCAGTTGCAGGAAGCTGAGCTTATGTTTGTGGCATATTGCTTCCGCATTGCTGCCAGTCTCGGCGGCATGTTAGTCGGACGCTGCTCCGGGCCATATCTACCGGTTGCATGAATACCGTCGACATGCAACATCTGCCGCATGCCCGTGGCATGCCAGCAGCTAGACACGGGAACTTATCGGACAGGATCAACTTACTTTGCGGACGTATTTACGTGAAGTATGCCATGCCATGATGCAATGGTCACCGTCTTAAGAATAGACTGCAAGCTTAATTCAACATCAATATCAATATCAGTACCAATTATGTCAATGATTCAGTCGTATATCATCAGTGTGTCACTAAATAAGACGGATCGACCATCATTATATACCATCATTATAATATACACGTGTATACTCGCTGGCAAGCACCATTGTGATCCGAAGTTCTTGCAGAAATCTTCATCATTAAAATATATATAGAGCAAATTCGAGCTTAGGTTTAAGTGCAAAGTCATTATAACTGCGCGCGCGGCGCGCTCGATTTTATATAGTACAGCAAGGCGGCGTCCGGGCCACATTTGCGCATATGCAATCGGACATTGTGGTTAATTCTAGTAGATTGCATGCACTAACTGCCCGCAGGCTCCGGGGCCACACGCTGACTGCTTCCAAGCTTGATGCGAACTCAGAAACCTTACTAAGAAAACTTAGTGTGAAGCGCAAGCCATGCACTCCTAATTAGTATGCAGTGCTTCGAATTATCGATAATGCATGCCAAAACGGGCGCGACCCTATAACTACAGTCTATCATATGTAACAAAGCGAAGTCCCTTTGACTTAGCAGCAAAGCAGCAACTCCTACACCTAACTACTGTCTAGCCAGCCGCGCAACCGCGTAAGGCAACTGCGTCAAATCTTCTGCAACCCGCGTTACTGCAATGCAGTACACTTGCTGGCTTTCCTGCGGTCAAGTGTGAAATTACAGTCCCTTCCGACACCCTCGGTCCGATCACTAGCGTGCGGCATCACGCTAGTGCTTTCATAAGCTGATCATAAGACGTGAACATGATTGTCGAGCTCGGCGCAACCCACCAAACGCGCGACATGGTGCCGCGGAAGAATCCTTTCAACCCTTCGTGCCGGAGAATGGACTTTACGGCGTCGATCGGGCCAGAGTAGTTGGTGCTGGAGGCGATGTTGCTGCGACCCTGGACTTGCAGCCGCGTCTTGATCACATCCTGCAAAGAAGCGAGGGCGGCTGAGGGCCACTCCAGCACGTACTGAGAGATTGCAAAGGAAATTGTCAAGCACAGGAGCCATACTCGCGGCCTTAGCTTCACACCCGCGTGGTCGAGAAAGTCGACTTGGATAACACGAGTCAGTTCAGTGGCTGAACGAGTGACGGGGCCGCGAGAGAAGGGCCAGCCATTCATCCAGACAGTTCATGTCCATTTAGGCGAACAGCGGCAGCTCGTTATTGGAGGGGATTCCTCAACACACCGACGGAGCAGATTGAAATGATGCGGAACGAGGCACCAACTTCATTCACCATCGTTCCTGCCGATCCCACCACAAGTTCCGGAAAGCAGTGCGGCGAAAATGTGTGACGAACGGAAGAAAAACGGACAACGAAGCCGCAGGGACTGACCGCGGGATTTGTGACCGCCGCTGCGACCGCACTGCTGCCGAACGAGGCCGCTAGCTCCCATTGCACGTCGAGTTGATCGACCTGCACAGACAATACGGCGAGCTGGGCAAATGGAGCTACGGAATGAAGGGTTTGGCGTCTACCCAACAGCGGGAGCCCTCTAGCCCATTCAGAATAAAGCAGGTGATTCTCTCGCTTGGGATTCCGTCAATGTCGAGGTTGAACGTTGCAAACAATGCTGAGGTCAGTCGCCAAGATGGCGGATTTGCAAGTCCAAGCCGTCTTGTCGACCGCGACTTTTAAGACAAGCATCTTCACTGGTGACAAAAGCTGGTTTCAAGCTGCCAGCAGGGTACGATGGAAGCTGATAATCAGCCGCGTTCTGCTTAGGGGAACGCAGACGCGAGACTTTGAAGCGCCGCAAGAGGGTAGGACCTTGCGAGAGGAAAACAATACGAAGCGACTGACAATTTGAGGAGCAACGGGACGGAGGACCCACCGTTCCGACGCCTGTGTATCGGGCGGCCAATACTTTGGTTCCCTCCCACATGGGCAAGTAAATGGCGTTGAAGGGGCCCCACACCATCTGGCAGGCAAAGACAGAGAGATTGCAGAGGTGAAGAGGAATCTTGCAGCGGAGACGTATGGCTAACAAAAAGCTGGGGTCGGACGACTTGATCCGGTTACGCGACTGCCGATGACAACACTTGTTGTTCGATTTCTGATGCTCAAAAGGGCCCGTAGCTTCCCTCCAAAAATTGCAGAGCGGTTCGAGACTACAGCAAAGGACTGTCGTTGAAAATAACAGTACTTGCGAATCAAAGCAGTCGGTTTAGCGTAGTCGTTTCAAGATGGCAATCGATCATTTTAAGGCTTTCTTTGCGCTGCTGAATCCGACTTCGAAGCAAGAATGTGATGAACCCGACCTTCAGCAAAGTCTTCCAAAGGAATGATTACGAGTTGTATGCGAAGGTGACGCCATTCGACGCACCTGTGTCATGGCGAAGCCCCGATATAAAGCTAGTGGCCCTTCCGAACGAATGATGGTCCTCGCAGCGTCTAGCGACCCCTGCGAGAGAAGTGGGTCGTCAACAGACTTCGTGAAAAACCTCCAGTTGATTAGCAGCTTTGTAGGAACAGGCACTGTTGGCGTTTTTCTGCTCCTTTCCGGAGTTGTCGCGAGTACCATCATAAACGGGAAGTCACATTTCCACGAATTTGCATCGGGTAAGATCCCAAACCTCGCTTGACTTCGAAACCTTGAAGGATGCAATCGGCTGACGATTGCTGATGTCAGGACACCTCTTCCTCGTCCGCAAGCACCATCCTTTCAAGCGTGGCAATAAGAGGGCTGACCTGATACGCCCCGCTGGTGTTGGTTTGCACTTGCTGACGTTGTCGGACCACTTCCAGGGGGACCATCGCTAGGGACTGGGCCACTGTAGCGATGACCCCCCCGGCGAATTGGGTCATCGGAGACTCCTCACTACCTGGAACCAAGACGTCAGGTGGGGTCAGGTGGTCGATCGCTCTGTTTCGCCACTCTGGCTCTTGAAACATGACATTACTACAGAGTGAGTCAATCCAGAGAGAAGTAACGACCGTGAGGCTGTGAAGGAGACTGGAAACGCAAGCTCGAGGTGAAAGGTTGCAGCCAGATCCAGGCCCACAATTGCAAAAGCGTTGATGTTGAGATTCATCGTTGACATGTTGCAAGCCAGAAGAAAGTGGACAGAGTTCTGTGGCGGGTGTCTTCACACACCTGGCAGGAATTGTTTGGAAGCCTGGTATGCCCCCATGTACAGGGCCTGTGCGGGAGCCACTTGCGCCACTGTCCCAAAGCCCTGCCAAGAGTGTGGTCAGCAGCTTCAGCCTTATCTAAGGATGCCAGGGGTATAGCTGGTAAAGAACCAACCTTCACGTTACGTTGGACAAGGGGTTGGGCATATTACTGGAACTTAGCTCCTTTGTTACCAGATCTTGTTACTGAAACACAAGGAATCTGTCGCTGCTACCTTCCCCGCTCCTGCCCCACCAACTGGATCAGAGCTTCTCAAACAAGAATACAATGGCCATTCAAAATATGCCAATGAATCGAAAGCATAACTTTTCCCAAGGGAGATTCCAAACTTCCAAGCTTCGTCCAGAGAGGATTTGTAGGTCAGCCAGCGGGAACAGTAAGGGCTTGCCTTGAAGAGTGTGCGCCAGCCCTCCCTGGCGGCTATGGTCCACAGTGCGTCCAGCGGCCCCTTGTATGCATATGCCACCTTCCCAGCAGCCTGCTGAGCACCCTGGACTTGCATCCTGCCAGCATGGAGATGAATAGACGTCTCTGCACTGTGTGAACTATCTGATATCAAGGAGGCATCAAGTAGGTCTGAGCCGAAAAGGTGGTACAGTTCTGACCGTCAGCATTGCCCACATGAGGTGCCCAGACAAGTCACAAAATATTCGAAAGCAGACCCTCTTCTTGCATGTACAACAACCAAGTGCAAGCCTGACCTGAAATTAAATCACGCCACAGCTTCCGTTCTGAGCTACTTCAGTTGAGCCACCTTGCTGTTGATTGCAAACACGCTTTAGAATGTCGCCCTGCCTTTGTTTTGGGGAGCCAAGGAACATTAGATCTTGCTCCAAGACGTGCCCAGCTTTGACCGGAACCCGCAAGTAGTTCTTACCGTGACTTGACGGTACACATTGGATAAGTCACACCGTCCGCCAGCATTCCTGCCACCCCTCCCGACAGCATTTGCTTGGAAAGCGTCCATGCCGGCTGTTCTTGGGCAAAGAGGAGGGCGGAGGGGTCCTGTCGGACTTCCTCCATGGCTCCTCTGCTTGCCCCCAAAGGAGACTACATAGAAACCAGGTGCGATCAGGTCCAGTAACCACACATTAATTCCAAGCAATCAGCTTTACTACGCAGTCAAAGCTACAGCATTACATCCTTAAAGAATAGTCTGTACGCGCAGGCCGCTACGAAATAGTTCATCGCAGCGCTCTAGCTGCAAGGGGGTGCAATAGGCAGCTGCCCCTAGATCAGAACAGCAGCAGGCCGGCGGCTGGCGGCCAAAGCCATCACCAACGCCATGCAAAGCGCCATTGTGCCGATCGAAGTGTTTCTTCTAGAGCTGGTAAAAGGGTTTCAGGGCTTGCCCTTCTAGGAGTTTTCAAAACCCTTTTGCACTCTATCTGTGCCAGTGGCTAAATGGATCAGGCGGCATGCAGTACGTCAGGCGGCCGCGCTAAGCTTCGCAAGCATTGGAATGGCCCGGCGCGCGCTATGCTTCCAAGTTGATGCACATACGCGCGGACAAAAGCACTCATCACCCTTGAGAGTCAATATATAATATATGTGCTACGAAGCCTAACGATCGGTATGCATACCGCCCGCTTGGAGCTCAATGAGAAAGGTCGGACAGCTCGGCCCAACAGTTCGGCGCGCCACTACTAAAGTCAACGTACTTGGTGCATTGTCCGTGCATACTTAGCTGATATGTACATTGCAACATCTTGATTATCCTGAGATACAATCGTTCGCCATCACTGTTTTCTCCGTCTATGAATGGACTCCGCTATAAGACAAAGCTGCTCAAACATCATGTTTGCTGCCACTCGCGGCGTGTTTCCTGTGGGGTCCCACGGCGGGGACGTGCACACGAAGTCCGCCCCCACAAAGTGCAAGCCTCGCAACCCTCTCAAAATAATCTGCGCTTCCAGCGTCGTGAGTCCGCCATCTTCCGGAGACCCGGTCCCAATCGCATATGCAGGATCGAGGGCGTCGACGTCGAACGTGATGTAAGTGGGGCCGTCTCCAACAATCTGCAACAAAACGCGGAAGAACCAAAGCTTTTAAAGTCGGGTGTTTGCCGGAGCTACCGGAGACCCACCAGAGACTACGTCGTCTACGAATGTTGATCCTTTCTTGGGGCTCGCGGAACGGCTTACGAGGAGCAGCAGATAAGGAACAGCACAAAGCAGCAAATTCTGTGCAAGAAGGCAAACCTCCTGCAATTATGCGTGCTGCCAGGCTGAATCCTCGTCACCATAGCCAACGGAGGAGGGTCCCATCAGGCAGGGAAGAACATAAGGAGGGAAGCAGCAGCGGTCGAAGAGCCGGACGGCTGGGCGCGCTATCAGGTCAAGAAGAATTTCAGAGGCAAGTAGGCTGAAACCGTGTGTCTTGGCCACCATGCATACGGCTTTTGGTCACAGCCGAGGCCACAAACACTTCGCATTTTCGGCCCTCTTTTCAGACGGCGCCCTACGATGGGTCGGCCTTGTAAACTAAGATTTTTGGCGGCCCGCGACGAGAGCGACTTTTTAAGGGCACCCTTGGAGGTCTCTTTCTCCAGCTTCAGGCATAGTTCAAGCTGAAGGACGAAGCGCATCCAATCGGAAAGCTGTTGGTACATTCACGGCCTTGTAAGCGGAACCTGACTTGAGCTACGATAGAGTTCAAAAGGCAACAACTTGCGACCGGATAGATTGAACGAACCTTTTGAAAACGAAGCAAGGCCACTTTGGATATTGCCCCCGATCGCCGAGGTAAAACAAGTGCACCTCAGCGCCGCAGCGAGCAGGGGTCACTACGCTCAATACCAGCCGGCCATCCGACCCAAAACGTAACCCGGGCATCAATCTTTCCCCTCCATGCCGCTGTGCAAAGCGGTCGGGGCGTGAAAATTCTCAAGAAAGATGATAAATATAAGCCAAGATAATGCTAAGCTCCGACTAACATCAAAAACCCTAACCTAAACAGATACCTGCTCCGCACCCATACCCACCCTAACCACCAAACTAACCCTACCCGTACCGTGCGGTTCCCTCATTATCACCTCGGCTTGTTATCTTCATTGAGTTCAATCGGGGCTTACCTCCCGGGCCTCGTGCGCGACCTTCTTGGGCCCCAGGTCGTAGAACTCCTCCATGTCCACCACGCGCATGCCCGCGTCCTCGCTCAGCATCTTGCCGGGGCTCATGGGGCCGCGGATGCCGATCTGGATCGTGCGCTTCGGGTCGATCAGCCCGTCCGCGAGCGCGCAGCTGAAGGGCGTGCCGTTCCAATACTGCAGATGCGGAGGAAAAACAGCGTTCGGCGAGGCACGATCAACATGTCGTTACTGTTTTCCGCTTCTTGACTGCCTGCCATAGTACCTTCTGTGGAGGGCTTTGAAAAGGCCGAACTTATCGAAAAGATTCAAAGACTTTCACTAAATCCGAATATTGAGGCAGAAGTGGGCGTTTGCAAGCTTCGGAAGGATGAGACTTGGTTCGCTTCTGCAGGGCCGAGCAAAGTCTTTTGAACCTCCAGAGCGAGTAATTTCCTCCAGTTCAGAGTCTAAGTCCTGGGCAAATTCAGGCAAACGTCCTGGGCCATATTAGACAAAGCTGTTACACACGGACGACGCTGCATTCTTGGAACCGAGATGACTTGATTGACGCTCAGGAGGGGCCCGCTGACAGTCCCTTCCGCCATTCATTGAGGATGTAGCCGCGCCAGGGACTAGGACGAAGGGTTCAGAGGGTGTGTCTTTCCAAGCCTTCCAGCCAAACATCATCGCACACTAGAAGCACGTTCGGGTAGGCTAAGGACAGCCTTACTCCGTAAAGGTCTGCACATCACCCAAACGGAAAGATACCTGACGCTTGCAAGCGCTTCTGCTTCCTGGGCAACAACAGAGGGTGCAAAACGTCAACCAGGGTTCTGCCTAAGAGAAAACCAAAGTGTCGTCAGTGACTCACTTTGGACCCCGTGCTTTCCTCGCTCTCCTGCAGGTCCACTGTATCGTGGTGTGCGTCCAGGTGCACCAGCCCAACGGGACCCCCCGCCGCCTCAGCCACCGCACGCAAAATGGGATACGAGATGCTGTGATCGCCGCCCGCGGTGATCGGAATGATGCCCCTGACACAGAAAGAGAAAGGACGTGAATGAGTCCTGGCTGAGTGTCTAAAGAGCAGGTGACTAGATGGATTAGGACACCGGAGGAATGTGTTCTAAAGACGTGGAAGAGCAAAATGGAGGACGGGGCAGCTTGCCGCTCTCTGCACCACTTCGAAAGTGTTTACTTGTGGGTTGCAGAACGCGTTTTACCATAACCTGTGACTGGCCATCGTGCATGGTTGTAGATCCACTGTATTCATGCCCATGAACAGTCGGAGATGAATATTGTTGAGCAAGCTCTTGATTGTTAGCCCGCAACAACAACATCATCTCTGGCACTCAACAACATCTCAAAGTTCCAAAACGTCAATTCCGCATACTGAATACTAGAAATAATACTCATTCAAATCATTTTAGTAAAGTGCTAAATGAAACAATGGAGAGACGTTTCGCACCTGCTGCACAGCTGCCGGAAGTAGTCGTAGATCTCGTGCTGCGCACTCTCGACCCCGTGCCAGGGCCTCTTTATGACGACGTCACCAACATCTGCCACCTGGCACAGGCTGAATGGGGCCACACCGGTGGACCCATGGATCTTGCGCAGCATCGACGACTTGTTGCGGATCTCGCGAGGGCCAAAGCGCGTCCCAGGGTGGCTGGCCCCGCCATCAAAAGGAACGCCCACCAGGGCAATGTCCAGCTGCAAAAAGGTGGGAGGTCTGTATCCTTTGGTAGCGCGGTGCCAGGAAAAGCACGGAAGGAGCGACTGCCTGGAATCCTCCTTGTCTAATGGGTTTGAAAAAGTGAATTCAAGGGGGAGGGGGGTATTTGTGTAAGGACAGGGAAGGTTGTCAAACTGCATGCTAGAAGAAAGTACCACAGCGGACAAGCCCCAAGTAAGCCTTTCTTCTCCCTTGGGGGGGAAAAAGGAATGTTGAAGGGGCAAGGGGGGAACTAAGACCAAGACACACGGTCCCCCACGTTGGGCACAAGAAAGGGCCAAGAGGACCTGGTCAGAGAACCCTTGCACAGCTAAAGCAATGGTGCTGTAATCTGGTTGAAGACTGCCACCATTAAGAAGAGTCTGTGTATGCCATAGACAGGGTTATTGCCTGACTAAGTAGTAAAGCTTGGGCTTCTAGATCCTGGCTGCCCAGAGGACCTTGCTTCCAGGTCCTTTGACATGTGCTTGGAGTCAGTTGCATGCAGGGAGGCAAAGCTGAGAAACAAAATGGGCAGCTATAACATTCAACAACAATGGGTCTTCCCAAAGCGAATGCTTTGTATACATTGATGGGAGCTTTTAACATCAGTCTTGCACCAATCTTTGACTGATCACACGACAACCAGCTTCAACACCTTCTCTCGAAGCCCAATCGAGCCCACACCAATCAGTGCTGGTTGCTTACCCCTTCCAGCGTATCTGCCAGTGGGGCTTTCAGCAGCGTGGGCAGCCCTGAAAACTTGGGCGTCTTGTGATGCTGGTACCTGGCAAAGTCATCCGGCAGCTCCTGGGCAGTACCACTGGAAAACTCTCTGTAAAAGCGACCTGCATCCGCAAGCGCTGATGCAGATGGTGGATTGCTATCTCTTTGTGGAAAAGAACCGCTGCTAGCTCTCCCCCACAACCGTCTGCTGATGGAGGAAAGGCAATGCCGTGCTTTGAAGGCAGCCATGTCTGCACAGGGTGCCTCCTTTTCTCTGCTGGCTGGCTGAACTACCTCTCAACTTACATCGAGTGTGTCAGCTTCACGGACTTGTGCACAGTGTTTGAGCTAGCTCCCTGCTTGCAACACCCGGTTTGTGAGCTCCTGAGGCTGGGGCATTGCATGCAGGGTGTCTGAAACTTTCCAGCATGCAGCTAGGAAGCTCACTAGTTCTTGAACTTGACGTGAGGAAGCGAACACTGAAGTCAACTGGGGCTGAGCGCTGTGGACTGCACTGCCACTACAGAAGTGTTTCAGATCTGCTATGCAGCAGGTACCTAGAAAACCACTACTGAAATCGGGTGATCGGCAGCCAGCTTGCTAAGCGGCCAAGGAAGCCTAAGAAGGTCAGCTCGTATCCTTCAGCAGCATTGCCTCTCCCATGCCACTTGCAGACCTGCCACATCCCCATTGAGCTACCAAATTTGAGCGGCCAGCTGCGCGCTTAGTCCATGGCTTCTTCTTTCGCCTCTCGAGGCATCTTGCTGCGGAGACTCGCACACGGGCTAATCAACCAGGCAGCGCTGCCAGGGATCTCTAAGGGCAGCAGCCAAAACGGCCTTTCTGTGGCCTGCCGGGCCGCTCTGGTCGCTGAAACCCCTCCCTCAAAAAGGCGTCTCTTCTCCAGCTCATCCGCCAGCTCCCGCGTGCTGGTCACATTTGACATTGATGGGACACTCGTTGAGGCGATTGGGACCGAGGCGAACAAGATGCACAAGGGCGCCTTTTCGCATGCCCTTAAGGAGCTGTATGGAGTGGACGGCACCATTGATGCAGTCAAGGTGGGTGGGGCCAACGAGGCTGCAAAGGAAGTGGCTCTTCAGCGCGAGGAAGTTCTAGAAGAGGGGGTTCACTTCTGATGGGTGCAAAAGTCCTCCTTGAACTCAGGTCGCTGCAAAAACATGACCTTTTCTGGCATTATGAGAACAGCATGACGGGGTTGGTCTTGGGCTTACCAGCATCTTGAGCTGGCGCCAATACTTTGAGAGTGGGACTGGCAGGATGGTTTGTTTTCTAGGAAAGAAGAAGTGCGGAATAAGCTTAAGATCATCCTCGATGGCCTCCAGCAGCAGGTGGCAGAATGCGGCAGCCACGGGTCTTCAGAGACACAAATACCAGCTGAAGAATGAAAGAAAATCGATCAAAGGTGCTCACAGTCCTCGTTATGCATCTTGCAGCACCACGGCAGCACAGACAAGAGCGTCATCAAGAAGACCGCTCTCCACTATGGCGTATCAGAAGAGGTGGGCCCTTTGACCACCTCTTGACCAGGGGCAACACGTTATTGGGCACTCATCTTGCTGCCAGATACACATAGGGAGTTGCTATTTGACCCCCCCATATTATCTCCAGTCCACAGCGAGATACATGTATTCCAGGCGCGTCTTTGAGAAGACTCGTTAACATTTGAATCTCACTGAGTAGCGTACCGCCATGATTCAGATTGTCAGTGACTTTACACCTGCAGAAGATTATGAGTCGCTGGGACGACATCGCCCCGAAGATGCTCGAGTATGCTCGTGGCCATGTGGCGCACGCTGCAGAGGGGCTGCACCTATTGCCCGGCGTGCTGCACCTTCTCAAAACACTGGCCGCCAGGGATGACGTTGTGACCGGCTTGGTGAGGCGCAGTGTGCTCTCTGCAACCGAGCGCATCGACCAGGACCATCTGGGTTTAAACGAGAACCCTCCCTGCTATTACCCCTTGTTGAGAAGAGGAGGGGCCTTTTCGACCCTCCTCCCGAAGCGAAAGTTTCAGTGGTTGCCGATTCTTCACGTCTGGCCACAGAACAGAACTTTCTGGTAGACGACCTGGAGAGTTGAACTTACGATGGTCACAGGGAACAGAAAAAAAAGTCCCTCGTCTTGAAACTGAGGCTGTCTCCTGCAGGTGACCGGCAACCTGTCCGAGATTGCCTGGATGAAGATGAACGCGCTGGGAATCAAGGACCTCTTCTCGCCCCCGTACATAGGAGGGTGAGCTTCGAAGTTTTCACGCTGGACAGAGGCACCATTTCGACAACTTTGGTGTAAAATTTTTGCGGAATGCTGGCGCAGAATTCTGACCATGTTATCATCCACCTGGGTACGAGCAGCCTCTGAAGATTCTCAGCGAAGTCTGGTGCCCTGGCTTACTATGAGTAAAGCCTTTCCGGAAACGCGCTAGCCAGCCTGGCCGACAGTTCTACTTGATTGTCTCATCAGCGCAGTGACCTTTGCTGCCAAGTGACATCGGTTCTTTCGCTTGGGCATTGGCTAAGCAATTGGTTCAACCCCTGTACGCTGATTGTTGTCCTCGTCTTTTGCGCAGGTTTGGAAGCGACCACGTGGATCGAGGGGAGCTCGTAAAGATTGCTGCAGCGCGCGCAGCCCAAAGTATACCCGGGCCTTCGTTCGGAGTGCGAGTTCACGTAGGCGACACGGTGAGCGTTCTTGTGATGCTCCTCCCGTTCGAGAGTGGCCCGGCTAGGCTGTTAGCACCCGGGCATATTGTAAGTGAACGCGAGTGATTGTCTTACTGTCGGAAGAGGATGAACTGACGGCCTTCGAAAACACGGGGTGTCATAGTCGTCTTTTGCAAGGGCACAATGGTTTCGTCGAGCTGACGTTCACCTCATGACCTAATGACTGAAGGCAGCCGCAAACGTTTGCTTTTCGGCTTGACTCCTGGATCAGTTGCCTACATTGCAGAATGATGTTTCAGATTCGGAAATCTTTGCTACTGTCAGGAGATCAAGTCGAATTTCATAACCACGGTTTGACTAGAGCAAGTCTGCAAAGCGACCCCGTTGACAATTACCTCACCATCGGCCGGACCGATTGAGTCATCAACCAAGTTCCCTTTTTGTTGCAGCCCAACGACGTGTCGGCTGCCCTTTACGGAGGTGCACATGCTGTTGGTGTTCTGACAGGCGCCTTTGAGGAGAGCGAGTTGCTTGAGGCCGCTAAAGGAGACAGAAACAACGTAACAATACTGGAAAACCTTGAAGATAGCGAGCGTTTTTTGAGCGTGTGTGGTTTATCAAATAGATCATAAGTTGTTGAGGAACTGATGATCTATTGTTCCTGCACTGAAGCGCCAGCAGGTACGGCTACGTGATAGTAACAGCAACTCAGTTTCAGAACTGGACGATATAAATAGGTGATCGCATTCAATATAGGGACTCGTTTTTCTTCTCGGCTATAAAGCTATACTTGAACGTCTTTCTTTTTGACTTCAGATCGACTCGCTGAGTACATACAACAGCCTATCGCGAAACGCGCACATCTGCACAAAGAGCGGTCATGGAAATCGAGTCCAATCGGATCGGGCTGCGCATTTTTCAAAGGATCCGCAGATAGATGGCCGATCATGTCGCGCATGCGGTCGGATGTAGCCGCTCGCAACTGGCAAAAAGCCACGCTTAATGTGCGCTTAACAAGCTGCACTATGTGGTAGATTGATTGAAATCTTGGTAATCGATCGAATGACTTCAGCTCCACACGTTCATATGCAGGTCCGATCAATTCAGATCAATACGACTTGGTGTCATGCACATGCATACCTAGTAAGTTGTCATGCAACCCTCAAACCCTATGTGATTGTCAGTGTCTCTGCGTACGTTGTAACTTCTAATGCTGCTCGAAGTCCTCTCGGAGTTTGGCAAGTACCGGCAGCTAGCCTTACAGCCTACAGGCCGGTTGTCTCCAAGATTCCGGCGACTCGGCCCATGTGGATCATGTGCTTTGCGACGCGAAGCGGGATCAAATGCGGCGCCTCGATCAAACACGTACTGCGTACTCACAATTAATGCTTGAAATTGGAGTCGGTGATTGGAGTCGCGCCGTGACGCTGGCGTGAAATACACCGGCTCCGAGCCGCCTAGATCTTAACTCCCCACGACGGCCCTGTCGCGAATGAGATCAGATGAAACGGGCACCCGTTCCTTCGATCCATCGCTTCCGGCAATCCGCCCGGGGCTTGGGCCCCGGTGCAAGCTGGCTGCACAGTGCAGAACTAACTCTAGCCCGGGCCGCTCCCAGGCAGGATCTCTGGAACTTCAAGAAGGGGGTGGGGGCCGGGGCGTTTTGTTGCAAGCCAGATCTTCTGCTCATGCACACCGCGAAGAATCGTCCTGCTCGAGCTGCAGTGGCCAGCTCAATCTGTATGGTTAAAATGGTATGCAGTGTTCGCTAGGTCCAATTGCCTCTAAAGAAGACGATCAGAAAGGTGCAAGGGAGACCACAGCAGCGGACCTTTCTGGACGCTGCGAATAAGTCTAGAATTGGCAAGTCTACATTGATTTTAATGTAGATTCTTCTACGGCCGCGGATTCTGTACGTGCTGATTGCTGCTGTGTTCAAAGTAATCCCAACAATTCTTGACGATCTAGCTGATCTTTTGTGAAGGCAGCAGCAGTTTAGGTCCCAGAGAAGTGCCGCTAGCTCACCGGGCACTCTTGCGCAATGCCGTCTTTTGTGGCATCTGATGAGCGTGTCTGGCGGGAGGCAGAGAAGCTGGCCGCCGCACACGGAGGGCCCCGGGGGGTGCAGAAAGCTGTGGAGAAGGACGCATCGCTGCTTAAGGTGCTGGCGCTGCCGGAGGAAGCAGAGAGGATCGACCTGAATGCTTTGAAGGTATGCTGCAGTTGCTAAGCTTCCTGCGTCGTTGCCTGATTGGAGTCTAGTAATCTCTGTGAGCTGCATCCGCTCGTTTGTTGTGCTCTGTGATGGACACCTGTATCTACTGATGCTTACTGGTGAAAAGCTGGCATCTCCTTCTTGAGGTCCCTTCCATGCTCTGACCAACTTGTCGACCAGGATCTTATGCCACCGGAAGTATGATGGTACGGCCAGGCTAGCGCCTCATAGTGGTGACTCGTTGCTTTGCATCAGTGGTCAAAAAGACCTCTCCTTTTGTATTGCCACTGTGGGCTTGAGGTGCTTGCTCTGCGGCACGGCACTCCTACTCGAGCAAAGCAAAAGTAGTCTGCACAGGCTGGTGGTTCATTTCTGACATTCTTGCATGATCGCTGCAGACATTCTTGATCTCAGGAGTTTACATAAAGATGCTTAGAGAGAAATCTAAAGAAAGATTTGCTGCTAGGAGCTGCAAGTTTTGATGCGACAATATGGTCAGCCGCTTACCACGTCGAATTCATGCAATGTGGCCTTTTACTTTTGGACAAAGTGGCAGAGGACCATTTTGTGATATACTTCAACTGCAGTGTTCAAGCCAGCTGCTCTTAGCTGTTACGCACTTCCACATACATCCGGAACAGCTTCTGGCGCCTTGAGGCTCTTCTCGTTCAAGCTCTACTGCCTGTAAAGAATGTACAAGCCAGGAGGGATCTCGATCAGCTCGTGGGCTTCTGACCCCAGATTATGCGCAATCCGACAGTATAAATCGCCACCCTTGCTCCAGTTAGAGCACATTTTCAACCACAATCTTCGTATTCGCAGAACGAGGTTGACATTGTTATTCCCACCATCCGCGACTGCGACTTCCTCGAGCAGTGGCGGCCGTTCTTCGGGCAATGCCACCTGATCATCATCAAGGACGGTGACCCCGACAAACCGATCCGCGTGCCCGAGGGCTACTCGTACGAACTCTACACGCGGCGCGACATTGAGCGCATCCTGGGGGAGAAGGCCAAGTGCATCTCCTTCAAATCCGCCGCGTGCCGCTGCTTCGGCTTCCTCGTCTCCAAGAAGAAGTACATCTACACAATTGATGACGACTGCTTCGTGAGTTCCCCCTTCGACTTGCTGGTGGACTGGAAGCTCTTGGTCACCGTAAATTTGAAAATGACCTCTGGCTATGCCTTAGCGTGCTCGGCAGCTTACGTGTGGTACCCCGGATGCTGCGGCCAAATCTGGAGTCCGGGGTTTTCAGATTTAGGGTTTGATTTTAGGGTTCCATGCTCAACCTGCTCTTGACATCAAGAGCGACTTCTCAGGGGTCAGGGGCCTCACTGCAGTCAGGAAACCCCGCAAGTGGTACTTTGATCGGTCCCTTATGATGGCACAGCTGCCCCTGTGAACATGGATGCTAATAAGGCAGCCCTTCCTCAAGTTGTCAAGCCCCCCAACCGAGTCAGGGCGCAACGTTCCACACTCCCGGAGGGTGGTTTTCCCATCCCATCTCGATTCCACCTAGTTTACTATGCTCAAAAGGTATCCATTTTCACATACTTCTCACGTTATTCAGCCCAAAGATCTGAAAGGGGTCTCGTATGGCCCGCAGGTGTGCAAGGACCCCTCTGGCAAGGAGGTGGACGCGCTGCAGGGCCACCTGTTCAACCTGGTCACTCCCGCCACCCCCTACTACTTCAACACCATGTACGACCCCTGGGAAGACGGTGAGCCACTGCTGCGTTTAGAAAACAGCGGGTGTCATTACAATCGAGGGTCCAACTGCGCCCTTACGCAGCTTGAAGCCTTCAGAAGCTCAGGGTCTTTTCGTCCTGAACCGGGGCTGGTCGTGTTGCGTGCTGATTCCTTCACGGAGGGCACCCTTTGAAGCTTGTGTTTGTTGGAATCCGCCTCGCCGCCTCGTCACTGATGTTCTCTGCTCTCGGTCACTTAGCCTCGTCAACGAAACCGAGGAGATTGCTGGTGCCGTCCCCTTGTTCCTTGCCACCATGACTTTGATTTAGTCGTCCGATGTGCGCAGATGCCGACTTCGTGGCCTGCTATCCGTTCACCATGCGGCGAGGAGTGCCCACAGCCATGTCCCACGGCATGTGGCTCAATGTCCCGTGAGTGGCCACCGGCCTTGTCAATCCGTTCTGGGCAAAAAATCTTAGAAGCGGATCGGCCTCGCCTCGTCGTTTGATATACAAAGTAAGCACAACCTGGACGCAGAGCAGGGATTCAGACTTAACGGTACGAAAACACTGTTGACTCTCAGGAGGTGGGTGCGTTCCTGATCCGATCAATCAAAGCGTATCGAAAGCTCAAGCCTCTTGAGGAAGCGGCGTAAGGGTATGTAAAGTGCGTAGGCCTTTCTCCGAACCAAGAAGCTGCTTGCGTCGGAGGACAATCCTCGTTGCCAAAAGTCCTCTGCGGAGCTCACTCTGGACACCTGTCGCTTCGCCAGGGACTACGACGGCCCCACGCAGCTTGCCATCGACAACTCGCGGAAGCCGGCGCAAAACAGTTACCGCTACGTTGATGCCACATTGACGATCCCAAAGGGCTCGCTCTTTTCCTGCTGCGGCATGAACCTCGCGTTCAACCGGGAGCTGGTCGGGCCGTCCATGTACTTCGGCCTCATGGGACAGGTGCGGAATGGAGGCGGACTCTAGACCAAACAAGAGATGCTAGGTTTGTACTTAAGTTCAGGCTTGTAATTCGTTTCAGAGGCGGGTGCTGGTTGAAGAGAAGCGCTGAGTTGCAAGCAATTGTAGACGCGCTGAGCATAACGGTCGCGCAGGCAGTCAGCGGGCAGCAGCATTGGTTCCTCGTCTCTAGGGCACCAGGAGCGATACGAGTGCTGCGGATCGAGGGTCAAATCTTCAGGTTGTCGTGGAACGAGCTCATCGCCAGCAGCTTGCAGAGCCCAGGTTGACAGCTGCAGTCTCGCTTTCCCTTGCTTTGCGTGTGGATCGCCGGCTTCAAGGGCTGCAGTTGTGTGTCAATCGAATCCTCTAGGGAGCCAGGCGATGTGCTCAATCCTTTTGTTGCGTGTGCAGGGAACGCCATGGGGCCGGTACGAGGACATGTGGGCAGGCTGGTCGACCAAGGTGAGGGGCCGCGACGGGGTGGCACGAGTATGGCGAGTGTGTATGTTGATAGCAGCCGGCAGTATCCGCTGCCAATGCTGCTGCGCAATCAGTCCTGGGCTCTATTGACTCTTCGTATTCTACTTGAGAACGGGTCTGATCCCGACACACTGAGATGAGTGTACACAGATCCGAGCTGGACTATGGCAACGATCGACAACCTCATTTTGGGAGAAGCTACAGATTGAGCCACAGTCGGTTCACGGCACCTGCAGACTCGTGCAGTGGTCCAAGTAGGTTACGCGTCAGGACGGGTGACCTTGAATCGTCCCCATCATCAGTGGTCATGTCCAGGTTCACTGCCCCTCCTGCGTTTGCGCCTGCAATCTCCGCTGTTGACCGAACATGCTGACTCAGGGTTCCCGTCGTTTTGCGGTTGGCAGGCAATCTGCGACCATTTGGGGCTGGGCGTCAAGACGGGCAAGCCTTACATCTGGCACAGCAAGGCCAGCAACCCGTACGCCAACTGGGACGTCGAGGTTAACGGCTTCCACTGGCAGGAGGTCATCGTGCCATTCTTCCAAGTGAGGGCTCCCCCCCGGCGGACCCCTTATCTTGCGTGGCTTTCGTTTCCAAACTTCGTTTACAACCCACGTTCTATTTTTGTGTGGTTTTACCGTGTTGGGGTATAGGGCGACGTTGCATATCCGTGCGCGGTGAAACGGGGTAGCACGAGAGAGAATTTAGCAGACTGCACTCGCCTTCCTTTTGAAGTCTGCCGCTTCCAGGGACCACAAGTGCTTGCTAATCAACGCCCTGGAGAGTCGTCCACACCTGCACCAACATCCACTTGTGAAGTGGTCCAGGAAAGGGCGGCGAGGGCCAGTCCCTCGTCGGCACAGCAGCTTCGCGCACTCGCTCTTGTCATTTTTTAAGAACTCGTTCGAGGATGCGGACAAGGGTCCGCCGTTATCAAGTGTCACACCCTCGCTCGCCCTCTCTTGGCACTGAGGTCGCGAAAGTGACCAAGTTCCCGGTCTCTGTCCTCGCTTTCTGATTAATGACTTCCCGACACGAGGCCCAATTTTCACGTGCCTGTGGCTTACCTTTGGGCTTACCCTCGTGCTTACCCTTGTGCAGAACATGAAGTTCTCGTCAAAGGCGACCACCGTACTAGATTGCTACCGGGAGGCGGCCGAAAAGGTGAGAACACGCGAAAACCCCAAAGCCTGTGAACCAAATGTGCGGCCCGCAGAGCCACATCAATCTCTCCTCTTCTTTGATGCACGGTAATAGCTTTTCTTCGCAAATGTGTTTTCACGTATTCTGTGCCACTATCGCTTTCTCGTTGCCTTGCATCCCATCTCTCTTTTCTTTCGGTTCGCTCGTTCTGATTGAGTTCGGTGTTTCCTGACTTTTTGCGTCTTTGATATTATTGTCGACTTGTATCTGCTCGCTTCAGAGCATCCTCATAAGATCCCTTTGGCTCTGTCGGAAGATGCCGTACCCGACCCTCAGCAGTGTTGCCTTTCCTTACACGCTTACCAGTCTTGTTTGCTTGATCCAGGTGAAGACGGAGCTCGTGGCTTTGGACCCGTACTTCTCACAGCTGGGCGCCATGATGGAGGTGTGGCTGGACGCCTGGGAGGAGCTCAACCCCGGGATGAAGGGCTTTGAGGCCCCCAAGTCGGCCAACAGCGCATAAGCGATTGACCAACCGGCTGCTCATTGAACGCCAAGCCGGATGCCCGGCTGTCTATGCACGCACAGCGGCACATAGCGGTTATCTATTCGCAGGCGTTGTACTGCTTGTCAAACTGCGCCCAATATCTAGGAAAGAAAAGTACAGTCGGCATTTAGCGTTCGGCGAAAATTTAGCCCCCTGCTGACGGTTCGAGACGGGCCTGCACGGAGCCTTTTGACGCTATGATTTCTGTATACAGCTGACCACTAGTGATTTGTGTTCTGCCGAGCAGGATAGGTCCTGGTCCTCCAACAGCAGTATTCTTTCGTATAAGGTCTCCGTTGCAGTTGCAAGCAACGGGGACTCGGACCGAGTCTATCTGGGAGAGAGTGCCATTAAAGACAAGGGCTCTTTTGCACAGCAATTAAAATGGATCTAGTGACTCCCGCGAAAAGAGCTAACCCGGCGCTGATCGTGGCATATTGACTTTTGTGGTGTACTTCTTGCGCGCTCTCTAAATTCATCTTCCAGCGGCACTCAGTAGTCGGCAGTTGACCGGACGCTATTGCAACCACTGTTGTTTTCTGTCAAGTATAGCAAGTAGGTTAATCTATAGTAGCCATTGATCGGCCGGCCGGCGCCTCGATGAGACACCATGTGTGCGTCGTGCTGCATATTCAATCAAATCCCGGGCTGGTAACCCTTGGGAAACGTTCAACCTGAATATTGGGGTTCGAGTCCGATAAGTATATGCGGATATCGTTGCAGCTATCATGAGGTGGGCCGATGATCACGTACACTACAGCCTGACGGTCTTACTTCAATGTCGGAAGGGGAGCCAATTAAGGGCCGGCCGCATATTCCACATGATGCATGCGAGGAGGCAGCGCAAGTTGCATTGAAATAATCAACGTGTCCGACACTTAGCAGTACATGCATTAAAATTGAATCCGCAAAAATTGCCGGCTAGTATATATCAGTGACCAAGTTTCTCGGGAAACCGCGTGAGTCCACCATGTGGGCTGAGCCGCTCTTACTGTCAACTCAAATTGCTTAGGACACATGCGTCGTCAATTAAAATGTTGCTCACATCAATGTCGATGATTTCGTCTCTACACACCTGCATGTAATCATCGATCCAACGCAGCTAAAGCAACCTTATGGGAATTCATTGATTGAAGATGTGCCTTGACAGAATGGATCGAAAGAGGACATGGACTCTCTGCCAACCCTCGCTTGGCTGTACCCTAGGAAATTGACAGTCGGCTTTAATCTGGTGATAACAGACAATATATGTCAACACCGTGAACTATTCCGGGTAAGCATGTGCGGTCGCCGAGGGGGTCAACACAAGCTGGCAGGGGGTCCGTGTACGTTCTCCCTCCTTTTGTTGCGCAACAAATTGAGGATTCAAGAAGTGAAACTTTCGGACCCAAGGGCCATGATCTAGCTGCAGTTTTGAAGCACCTTAGTTACAATCGCAAGATCAGTGGAGGGGGTTGCGCCATGATGGCAAGGTGCAGCAGGGGGATTTGATCATGATCAGATCACCAGTGAAGCCATGTTGAAAATAAATGACGACTATCAAGATCTATTGAGATCTGATTCTGCCAACCCCATTGCAAAGAAGATGACGAAGCGAGACATACGTGCATGCAGAAAGTTTGAATAAAAAGCCGGAACAGCTCGCAGTGTCACTTTGTCCTTCTAAATAGACACTACTTAGCTCGACAAGATCAGGACCAAAGTTTTCGAGCCGGCCTAAGCGAACAAACACTGAAACATTGCCAAAAAAAGAGACGCGCTTCTTAGAGCTCGTCGTGCTCGACATCTTCGTCCTCGTCAGCGCCGCCAGCCCCCGGGCCGGCTGCTTGATACAATTTCGAGATGATTGGGTTACACACGCCCTCGACCTCCTTGAGCTTCTCCTCGTACTCCTCCTTGTCGGCCGACTGGTTGTCGTCCATCCACTCCAGCGTGTCCTTGATCGCCGCCTCAATGCTCTCCTTGTCGTCCTCCGAGATCTTGTCCCCCAGCTTGTCCGAGTCGTTGATGGTGTTCTTCATGTTGTAGACGTACGTCTCCAGGTGGTTGCGCGCGTCTATCCGCTCCTTGATCTTCTTGTCCTCCTCTGCGAACTCCTCTGCCTCCGCCACCATGCGCTCGATGTCCTCCTGGCTGAGGCGGCCCTTGTCGTTGGTGATGGTGATCTTCTCCGCCTTGCCGGTACCCTTGTCCTCAGCCGACACGCTCAGGATGCCGTTGGCGTCGACCTCGAACGTGACCTCAATCTGGGGCACACCACTGCACGCAAGAGACAAGCCCAGATTAGATTGAGTCGTAAGCAGGTTGCCCGCTTCCTGACTTGAACTTCATCATCAGCCAAACCCTTCCTGGAGAAGGACTGTCGGCAACTACGATGAGATGCCAATAACCCATTGAAGATGGTCAGAAGCTCAACAGCTGACACTCCAGCTCATCAGGCCCTCACGCTACAAAAAGCCCAAGGGTCCCAACCTTCACCAAACTTGACACCCCACAGTTCGGGACAGAGGAACCTCTGCTCCGCACAGCGCTTGCAATGAGTCTCCCCTGCCTCTGTGAGTGAAACCACCACCTACGAAAACCCTGTCCTGCCTCCAAGAAAGGGAGAAAGAAAGGACAAATGGCTTACCGCGGTGCTGGAGGGATCCCAGAGAGGTCGAACTTCCCAAGCTCGTGACAATCCTTCGTGAGACTCCTCTCACCCTCGAAGACCTGCACCAATGGTTCCTTAATTCAGAACGAGAGTGAACAGCGATTGATCTGGAATATGCTGTTCTAGATTGATTACGTGCTCAACTGGACGATGCAGATCTGCTCGGAAAATCAAATACCAGAACGCAAAAAGCCACCCATTATGCTTACATTCAATTTCGACTTCTCCCTGAAACCCGGTTTGCCGATTAACTCTGACGATCGTGTCCAAAGTACAACTTTCAAAGTACAGCGCTGAGTGTTGCTTCCTCGTTGCCCCGAGCCAAAAGACCGAGCCAGGAGACCAAAGCCACTTCGTGCAGAAAAGTACCAACTGCCAAAACTAAAATTGTCACAAGAGAGGCATCCTTATTGCACCAGGCTGCAGACCGATCGGAAAGGCAACTCACCTGGATGGACACAGTGGTCTGTTGGTCCTGGTAGGTGGTGAACACCTGGGACTTCTTGGTGGGGATGACGGTGTTCCTGGGGATCAGCTTGGTCATGACCCCGCCGACGGTCTCAATCCCCAGGGTGAGGGGCGCCACATCCAGGAGGAGCAGGTCTGCACAAGGAGAGAAAATCAATGCCCAACTCTTCAGACGCGAGGCTGCTAAACTAGGTAGACGGGAGCACATTCAAGTTTCTGATGGTCCATTTGCATTCTACAACAGGGACATGCCGGCTGTTGCGGAAAGAAGTGTAGGTAAAACATACCCCAGGGCACACACCGGGTTCTCTCTTCATTCCTTGATGGAACCGACTTTCTTCCAAGAGTTGACGTCGTCCTGGAATCCTTCAACCGCTTGCCCTCATCGCAATCTCATCCCAAGGATGCAACCATTGCAGCGGTTCCTACTTCTTCTCTAGAGCTCCACCAGTTTTCCCCTCAGACTTAGTTCTCACACCACTTTTCCTTCTCAAGACGAGACGTTTATCGCAAATGTGATTTACCAGCTTCATCTGACGCCTCACCTTTGGTCTCCTCGCCTCCCTCTCCGCTGAGGATCCCGCCCTGAACCGCCGCACCGTACGCCACAGCTTCGTCGGGGTTAATCCCCTTGTTGGGCTCCTTGCCGTCAAAGAACTCCTTGATCAGCTGCTGCACCTTGGGGATACGGGTGCTGCCACCGACCAGGACAATCTCGTCAATGTCGGTCTTCTTGAAGCCGGCATCATCCATCGCCTTCTTGACGGGGCCCATGGTCTTCTTGAACAGGTCGTTGTTCAGCTCCTCAAAACGGGCACGAGTCAGGGGCTCGGAGAGGTCGGTGCCATCGAACAGAGACTCAATCTCGACACGGACCTGCCAGGTAAGGATTGGAGAATTAGGGTTTTGGTTCTGGGTGGTGGTAGTGGTGGTGGCGGCAACATCAGCCAAGAAGAATTGTTCTGAACTTGATGTCAATTAGTGCTGAAGGTTTGATGCTCCACTATCAGATCATCTGTGGTTGACAGGGACTGGAAATTGCCGCAGCCTAAGCCTTCTGCTCAACATCTGGCTAACAAATCAAAAGTCTCGAGACATTTAGCAGGCAAATCTCAGCACGGGCAGCTTGAGAACACATGGAAGGGTGAAGGGATAGATTTGTGTGATGTTAACCAGAGCTTATAGTCATTCAATCACGCAATCAAAGGTGCAATGCCAAAAAGCATCCACGGATGCAGCAGCTGGCGTTAACAACAAAATTACCTGATGTTGGTTGGACAAAGCACGCTTAGCCCTTTCTGCCTCCCTGCGGAGCTTGCCCAGGGCCCTGTTGTCTTTGCTGATGTCCTTGTTGTACTTCTTCTTGATGAGCTTGATGAAGTACTCCATGATCCTCTGGTCAAAGTCCTCACCTGCGAATTCCACAGTTTTGCTGAGCTTAACTTGTCAAGCATTAGTTGGCCAGTCTAAAAGCTGCACACTATTACACCCCTGCAAGTACTGCATCTCAACTTTATGCGACCCACCACCTTCCCAATACACGCCATATGTTTGAACGTTCCATGAGAGTTAGCACCTGGGTCACATTTAGCACGTGAAAACAATACGGCTCATTTTGCAATATACTTAGACCTCAGAGTACCTGGCAGAACTCACCTCCCAGATGTGTGTCACCGTTTGTAGACACGACCTCAAACACGCCGCCATCGATGGTGAGGATGCTGACATCAAATGTTCCACCACCCAGGTCAAAGACCAGAATGTTCTTCTCTCCCTGCTTCTTGTCGAGACCGTAAGCGATAGCGGCCGCCGTTGGCTCGTTGATAATGCGAGCTACGTTCAAACCAGCGATGACACCGGCATCCTTGGTAGCCTGGCGCTGCGCGTCGTTGAAGTACGCTGTGAAAAAGCAGAGCAATTTTCAGCGCCTTCCTTCCAGTTCTCTGGAGCAGACCTGACATGGAACATCAGCTAAGCTTGGCACCCGACTCATTTGATGGCGAGTGGTATGCCAAACATGCAACATACAGATGCAAAACTATACAATCTCTGATGAATCAGCGCAACCAAAAGTCACCAGGCTGCAACCTTTGGCCTCATGGGAAACTAGGGTTCTGATCATGGTTCTCACCTGGCACGGTCACCACGGCATCCTTGATCTTTTTTCCAAGGTATGCCTCTGCCGTCTCCTTCATTTTGATAAGGATCATGGCGCTAATCTCCTCTGGTGAGAAGACCTTGACCTCACCATCCTTCAGCTTGACCTCAATGTTGGGCTTGCTTTCTTTGTTGATGATCTTGTATGGAAGAAGCTTGAGATCCCTCTGGACATCCTTGTCAGAGAATCTGGGTACAAAGGATCAAGTCAGAAAATCCTCTTGAAGATATCTGAAATCTTCAAAGTCGCATCCGAGTTGGAGATGAAAACTGGCCAGCAATATCCTGTGAAGTATGCAAGGCAGATTGACAAGCTGACCTAACAGACTATGGGCACACCACCTTTAGAACCGCTTGCAGACAATAAGAGTCAAACTTTGCGCATATCGAGCAAGTAGACATACAAGGTATGAGGAAGGAAGCAGGAGCTCACTTTCTTCCAATCAGCCTCTTCACATCAAAGACTGTCCTTTCGTGGTTCTGAGCTGCCTGGTTCTTTGCTGCCTCGCCGATCAGTCTTTCTGTGTCAGTGAAGGCGACCCAAGACGGTGTGATTCTGCTCCCCTGGTCATTTGCGATAATCTCCACATGACCGTTCTTGTAGACCCCCACACAGGAATAAGTCGTCCCCAGATCTATGCCAATGACTGTGCCAAGAGGATTTGCCTCATCTGCGGCATAGGTAACTGCGAACAAGGCAGCTGCAGTGGAACAGGACATGATTCAGCTATTCGGAAGATACCATCTCAGAGAATCTTTGGAGAGCTTCAATCAATCTCAATCGATCGATGAAACATCATGAAGCACCTGAAGCGTGTACAGTGCGCGCATCTGCATTGATGTGCACAAGCATCAATCTGCATCAGACTTCCCCAGCAGAATCAAAAGATTTGATGAACATTGCACTTACCCAGCAGGATCAAAGACGTCCATCCTTGCAACCGCCCCATTTTCCCAATCCGCGCCCCTTTTGCACCTTGAGTTCTCAGCTAACAAGTCCACGACGATTGAAATGCAAACAGATACAGAAATTATAAAGTAGGCGCTCAAACACCTGCAAATTGGTCAAGGAAAGTGATTATGACGCGAACACTTTTGGAAGGTGGTCTTGCTACCAACTGCAAAATTTTGTCTTTGCGGAATGCGAGATTTCCTTTTGCAGTGAATCTGGTAAAAACTACCACGTCAAACTGCATCTTTCAGCCAATCACAATCGACCATTTTGTGCGCGTTGACTTTTCCGACCAATCAGCTTTGACAGCCAGCCTAACCGTCTCGCTCGCGGCTCCGTCGGAATCCGTCAATCCAGAAGCATACCCCTGAAGAGGGACGCCGCCCGGGGCTCCCTTTCAAGCGCAGTGATCAGGCGTGCATGGTTGGCCGGTACTTCCCCGTTCCTCTGGGTCCTATTAGCGAGGTTCAGCGGTTATTCTCTCTGACAAGCTCCAGTCACGAAAACCAGAACACGTCAATTGGTAAACTTAGGACGGCTGCGATTCCTTGCCCAGAATCAAGTGCCAGCTGCAGCCAATCAAAACAACACAAGTAAGAAGGTTCTTTATCAATCGGGGTTGGGACAACTGGATCCAAGTTGAGCCTTGTAGATATTGCGCCCACAAACTTCAAGAACTGTGACTTCAAAGTCGAACTTGAAATTGAACTGGAAGCCAATGCGGCTTGCTGAGGGAGTCGAGGAGATCATCTCCGAGATGCAAGAAACCTTCATGGTTGATCTCAAACAGAGTGTGTAACGTCGTAAGTGGGCACAGAAGCTGAAGCTGCTCGAATAGGGCAGCCCCTTTCTATGGTTGGAGTGGTTCAGAGGACTCCCATTACTTGCTGAATACTTCCTGGAGAGGATGGAGCGGGGAAAGCTTGGCAGCCTGGTTGCACTCTTGGTTCTATGTGCATTCTTTGCAGGTGAGCAGCTGAAATTCTTGATCCTGCTTTGCAGGTTTTTGCTAATTGTTGTCAGAAAAGACATGCCGCTTTCACCATGATTTTAAACTCAATCTGAGGTTGCTAACGTTGAATGTGCCACCATGTTCAACTTACTCGAGTCCAATGCTTAGATTGCTTTACTGGTGGATTTTCATATGTTTTCTTTCTAGCAAAACAGTATCTTCGAATGCTTTCCAGGTTCTTACACAAAGGAGCAGAACGTGGCGGACTCCGCCACTGAAACACTGAATCTCCCACCAAAGGTTGAGCTTGAGCCAAAGGTGGTCCCTAGCGCCAAAGTGACTGACCATGAAACACCTGCCCGGTGAGCTCAGAGTCTGCAAGATTGCTGTGGTGAAAGCCTTCTATAATAGTAAGCTTTTTCCGTTGTATGCTTGCCCGTTTCACACATTGATTCTCAACCTAATCAAGCAATTATGCAATTACCTTATAACCAGCTTAGAACGCAGAGTAGTCTGCGTATCATTATGACTGGCCAGCGCAGGGCGCCATCGCTCCTAGACAAATTTACTTTTCATCATGTTTTACCTCATTGTCCTGGCACTGACTGCCTGCCCCAAATGTTTCCATGAAGCATCTCTCTTTTCTGATCGGACCGCCATTGATTCATCCAGATATATGCACCTTATACTTGGTGGTACTTAACCCTAATGGAATGCATTGCAGGGAAGCTGCTTTGAAGCAGCAGCGAGCAGGTGGAGAGAAGTTCGAATTTCAGGCGGAGGTCAACCGGCTCATGGATATCATCATCAACAGCTTGTACTCCAACAAGGATATCTTCCTCCGCGAGCTTATCTCGAACGCATCTGATGTAAGCCACCACTCTATTGGGCTCACAGGCCAGGAAGCCATGCTCGTGTGGTTAGAAGTGACTGCAAATTCTAGTTTTAAATCCAATTATGAATCTTGCAACCATTTCACTTCAGGAACCATCTCCATTGATCAAACAAGACACTGATTAGCGCCGTCGCCTGTCATTCCGCATCTGGCTTAATCAAGGTAGCCCCAACCTTGTGCAGGCCCTGGACAAAATTCGGTTCTTGTCCCTGACTGATCCCACCATTCTTGGTGAGGGCGAAGCTGCCAAACTGGAGATTAAGGTGCGCCCACTCTACTATCCTCAATGTTTCCTGTGTGGTTAGATTGTTTGGAGCATGGCAGCAAGCGTTTGCTGTCTGACAGCTGCATTTCGCCCATAAATCTGTATGTACTTTGCGGCACGATCACTGAATCCCTGGAGATTGTGCGACCTCAATGTGCACAATTCCCGGAAGTTTCCACATGACTGATGTTTACGTGGTTTCTGTCTCAGATCAAACTAGACAAGGAGAATAAGATCCTAACAATTCGCGACCGGGGTATTGGGATGACCAAGGAGGACCTGATCAAGAATTTGGGAACAATCGCAAAGTCAGGCACTTCATGTGAGTACCCAGCCCTCCTCTCTCAAAAGTAGGCCCATGAGCTCAGAAGCAACGGTTTGAACTAACTTGTGGTGTATGCAAGCGCTTCTGTCAGAAGCCAAACCCCACCCATCTACCACTCTTTTGGAAACTCGTCGAAGAGCGCCGGAGGGTGATATACCTGTGGGCACTGCTTTTGTGGTCTCAACTGCGACTATTGTTGTGCAGCCTTCTTGGAGCAGATGCAGAAGGGTGGGGACCTGAACCTGATTGGGCAGTTTGGTGTTGGCTTCTACTCGGTGTATCTTGTGGCAGACACCGTGGAGGTGGTCAGCAAGCACAACACTGACAAGCAGTGAGGCCGCTTGCAATACGTTTCTACCAACGCAATCTTTAGTTAAGTTTTGAGTCTGTTTTGACGATTACGCACACCACCTCAAGTACCAGACACAACGTGCGATAAGTGGTACAGTTTTCCTGGCCTCTATGTTTGCCACCTGTCGCATCAGCTTGTCTATTGACCGACTTTTGGTCGAACGTCCATATATATCTTACTTGATAAGCTTGTGTTTTCAGCTGTCCTTCGATTACTTGATCCATGCTGGTTGTGCGGCCACTGGGATAATGTTCTTCGCGTGTGGCAGGTGGGTGTGGGAGTCCCAAGCGGACGGCAGCTTCACGGTATACGAGGACGCAGATGGGGAGTCCCTAGAGCGAGGCACGGAGATCAGGATCCACCTCAAGGACGAAGCCTCCGAGTATGCTGACGAGGACAAGCTCAAGGTAGGCGACCCAGCAATTGCTGCTGTGGCTGGGATGGGCGGGAAGAGCTTCTTCTTCTTCTTCTTCTTCTTGCTCTGAGTCATCTGGAGAAACGTTTGTTAGGCCAGTCTAGAAGGACCACCCGTTTGCTTGTTGTTGAGAAACCGACACGATGCCAGTGGTCAATTGGAACCGTCATATTCTTGCAACAGATCAAAATAGATCAGAGTCGATTGCTCGGGGGCTGACGCCGCGCTGTGCTGTCCAGGCCCTGGTGAGCCGCTACTCGCAGTTTATCAACTTCCCCATCTCGCTGTGGGCCAGCAAGGAGGTGGACAAGGAGGTACCGGTGGAAGAGGAGGAGGAGGTCGAGGATGATGTGGCAGACAGCAAGGACGAGGAGGAAAGCACGGAAGAGGAAGAAGAGGAGGTGGAGGAGGAAGACAGTGAGTGCTTTTAACCTGCCTCGATCAATCTGAATGGTACAAGGATTGGCGTAAATGCAAGAAGGCCCGCTTGTCATTTCTTTTCTCGTCCTTGGAGACGTTTCTGCTTCCTTCAGCGGCTGTTGTAGCTCAGTAGGTGCTATTACCAGCCTGCACGCCATCCGTTCCAGGCGCTATGGCCTACGAATGAGAATAAGCGAACATTGGGGAAGGCAAAAGCCGGCAACGAACTTCCCCGTTTTCGCGGTTGCATCAAAGTTGTGTCTGCCGGTGCAGAGCCGAAGACAAAGACAACCAAGGAGACAGTGTGGGACTGGGAGCTGCTGAACGATGTGAAGCCGGTGTGGTTGCGCAGCCCCAAGGATGTTCCCGACGAGGACTACGTCAAGTTCTACCAGTCGCTTACCAAGGTCAGGAAGGATACAGTGCACGTGTCACCCCCGACTTGTAGTGCTCTTTCTTGCCCGTCTTATTAGTGCTTCTCCTACAGAAACGAAATGACAGAGGGCGTCTTTGTCAGGCGTTACAATAGAACCAACAATAAATCTCGATAGTGAGGAGTAAAGGCGCAGGAAGCCATATACAGCACTTGGTGCTTGCTCCGCATCGATTGCTCTTATAATACTGGTGCCTTACTATCTTCCTCGTTGAGAGCCCGATACAGAGGCTTCTAGAATGGACGTTATGCAACCACTCTATGCTTCACGTTATTAGCGCCTTCCGAGCCCTTCTCCCTGCTGCTGCTGAAATCTTCCCTCGACCATGTTCACAGGAATCGTGGGCGAAGCCCATGTCGTGGGCGCACTTCAACGCGGAGGGCGACGTGGAGTTCAAGGCGATCCTGTACATCCCGGCCTCGGCGCCGCCCCAGTTCTACGACAACTACTACACCATCAGCCCCGACGTGAAGCTGTACGTGCGCCGTGTCTTTATCAGCGACGACTTCGACGACCTCCTGCCGCGCTACCTCATCTTCCTCAAGGTGAAGCGCTGCACAGGAGCCAAGTTGCGGATACCGCGTGCTTTGCGATTTCAATATAGGACGGTGCCGCTGCTTCAGCTTGGACTGCTTCGGTCATAGTCTCCGCTCCGTCGCTATGTGTTGATCAACTATGCCAAAGGCTTCTCTGCAGACTGGCTTTCCTGTGAATCACTTTCGCTGTTTTTCTACCCTTTGAGCGCTTGAGCAAAGACGGCCCATTTGAAAAAGGCATGTTGGGCCGTTACTTCGGACAGACTTTGCTTATCGGTATTCGAGGGTGATGCAAGGTTGCTTCGCCGATGCCCGCTTCGAAACTGCTTCGCTTGTGGCCTTTGGTTTTATTCTTCTCCCCTTTGTTTGCAGGGTATTGTGGACAGCGACACGCTGCCGCTGAACGTGAGCCGCGAGATGCTGCAGCAGCACAGCGCCCTGAAGCTGATCAAGAAGAAGCTGGTGCGCAAGGCGCTCGACATGATCCGCAAGATTGCGGAAGACGACGAGGACGACACCAAGAAGGGCGCCGACGACGACGAAGCAGGCAAGCGCCTGATATCTCGTTTGAAAATGAAGTCTTAGCGTTGGCAACGTGCCAGTCGGACTCATCTTTCGACCTGCTTTTCGTCCTTGGACACTATCTTAGAAGGTATTGCAGATTCTGACGTAGGGGGGTTGCTTGTGTCGTAAGTCTCGATCTCGGGCCAATGAAACATTGAGAGTCGGTTCGGACCGGCAAGCAGCGGAGTTTGTTGCCTACGTTGCGCCTGGTGAGAAGATGCATTTCTTTCTGGACTACCGATTCCCACTTGTGGTGATGTCGAGTTTGTTGGTGGGCATGCAGAGAGCGCTGACAAGGGTTCCAAGGACCCTGAGGCACGCGGCAAGTATGCCAAGTTCTGGGGGCAGTACGGCAAGGCCATCAAGCTGGGCATCATTGAGGACGCCTCCAACAGGGTCCGACTCGCCAAGCTCCTCCGGGTGCACACGTGAGCACGCCACCGCTAGCTTGGATTTTTTCTGGCTAAGGTTTGCCGCGGTACTGACGGCAACAGCCCGTAGATTTGAGGTGGGCGGCAGGGAGTAAAGGGTTTTGCTTGCGGGATTCTTCCATGCTGCTTCGCACTTTTCTTGGCTGTGCACTCCGGGATTGAAACTGATACTCTCAGCGAAACATACTATCAAGGGGAGCTTTGGGCAAGTTGATTATTTGGATCTCGCCTCTTGGCAAAGCGCTGGAAAGGCAGGCTCTCTTCGCCGGTGGATCGACGTTGTCGATTGGCCAAGTGACAGCTGCTGAAGGAGTTGTCTGCACCTTGCTTCTGGTGGAACGCCTCATTTTCAAATACCTCGAGATAACCACTGAGCATAACTCATACATCGTTCTTGAGTCTGCCTCGTACACTTGCCGCCACCTGATCTTTTTCAACCCTGCTCGTGGATTGGCCCTCCTGCGTGTGCTGAACTGGCACATCCCGGTTCTGCTGGTGCAGGTCCAAGTCTGGCGACAAGCTGACGAGCTTGGAGGAGTACGTGTCACGCATGAAGCCGGGTCAGAAGCAGCTCTACTTCATCTCGGGGGAGAGCAAGGAGCAGCTCGCGCAGTCGCCCTTCGTGGAGAAGCTCCTCAAGAAGGACTACGAGGTGCGTGCCTCCCTGCGCACCTAGCCACCACATACACTTCGCAGGTGCTTTGGAAATGCTCCGCAGCAGGTGCAAGATAGGGTATGCCTTGTCGTGAGCATCCCGCATCAGCTGGGCTGTGCCAATGCTGTCAGTCTCGATATCGTTGGCATGCACGAGTGCCACCTGCGCTCGCCTGTACGTCAACCGTTTTCACTTCCGGTTCTAGTCGCTCGGGAGTCGCTCTCTTTGTCTGCCCTGTTCCGAGTTATTCAAAACGCGCCATTGCGCTGCTTCAGGTGATCTACTTCACGGACCCCATCGACGAGTACGTGACGGGGCAGCTGACGGAGTTCGACGACAAGAAGTTCCAGGACGCGACCAAGGAGGACCTCAAGGTGGGCGAGCGGGACGAGGACGAGAAGAAGAAGTTCAAGGAGACCAAGGAGGAGTTCAAGGACCTCACCAAGTGGTGGAAGGTGAGCGCGCCGCGTGCCAGTCTGCGCACAGGAGCCAAGGGCCGCGCCTCCCGGGAGTCCTCCCTTCTTTGTCTGTGGCATTCTTGCTTCGTTTTTGGATTGATCCGATCCGCTCCTGGAAAAGGTGCCGACGCAAAGGATCTTCATTTTTGGCCCGTTATTTTACCAAGTCCTCCACCCTTCAAGGCTTGTGTCGACAAGTTCGGGACGGGAGGCGTCTTCCATTTCATTAGCACCACAGCAATATCGGGGACGGAACCTGCACCGATAGGCACCAGTCGGAACCAATTTCCCCGAAGGCAAAAGCATCCTCGATGTGAGCAGAGTGTCGAGGCGTCTCGGGCTCTCCTCTCCTTGCAGCCGACTAGTGTGTGCTAGTCTCCTTACTTTTCTGTGCTCTCGGTGCTTCCCCGCAGGACGTGCTGGGCGGGTCGGAGGTGGAGGGCGTGAAGGTGAGCAAGCGGCTGCACCGCACGCCGTGCGTGGTGGTGACTTCCAAGTACGGCTGGAGCGCCAACATGGAGCGGCTCATGAAGGCGCAGGCCATGGCTGACGACAGCAAGCACGCGTACATGAAGGGCCGCCGCACGCTCGAGATCAACGCGAACCACCCGCTCATCCGGGAGCTCAAAGCCAAGGTCGCGGCGGACCCCGAGGTGAGGAACCGGAAACGGTCTCGGCCACACTCTGTACTGAGAGTTCAGCCCTTTGGACGGCTGGGGTTGGTAAAAGATTGGAAAGAGCGCATACGACGTAGCTCATCCCGTCGTGATAGTTGGCATGCTCGAGCGGAAAGATGTTTCCGAGTACGAGTGGGCTTTATTATGAACCAGCGAGCTTTCTTGAGACGAGAGGGCATAGTACAAGGGAGGATTCCGCTCCAGGTAGGCCGTTGCAGGAGAGGAGCAGCTTCTGGCCTCGTGGTGGAACGAGGCGGGAATGAGGACTTGGACTCAAATTCCCTATCTGCTCCACTCGTGTCAGAGCTGTTGTTACATGCGGGGCTAGCCATGGACCGTCCCCGTTCCTAGCAGGGCACCTCCTTTTGGGGATTTGAATGCTTGTTTCAGGTTTCAAGCTGCAACCTTTCTTCCTCACGACAAAAGGTCCATAGAGTCCAACTTATGCCGTCTTTCACAGGACGAGAGCGCCAAGGATTCAGCGAAGCTGATCTACGAAACGGCGCTGCTGGAAAGTGGGTTTGCGCTGGACAAGCCGAAGGAGTTTGCGGCCAGGTTATACGAGGTCATCCAGAAGGACCTGGGCGTTGACGCGGGTGACTTCGCCGGTGTTGAGGAAGCGGAGGAGGACGAACCGGAGGAGCCCACCAAGGAGGCTGAGGCCGAAACACCAGCAGACGAGGCTGATGTCGAAGTGACGTCAGCGAAGGATGAGGAGGTTGAGGGCGCGGACGAGCCGTCGAAGTTGGAAAAGGACGAGTTGTAAGGGATAGCTTTGAAGACCTGTGCGGAAGGAAAGGTTTCTGGTCGAGTGCTTCCACTGGTCTGCTCGGTTTTCAACGAAGAACCTCAGTCCTGGCGGTCGCCAGGTTTCTGAGTGAATTGTCGATTGTCACATCATCTGCCGATCAGTGACCGTTACAGCGCCCTGCATTCATTGCGAGGGTCCATCAGCATGGCATAAGCCTGGCTGGACAAGTGGCTTGGGTCTGCTGCAGTTTGGCCGCTCTTGACAACCTGGCTGCCCTATCTTACATACTGTAGAGGTATCGAACGCATTGCACTAGCGGTCCTGCCAGCTTGAAAGATGCCACTGTTTGTGCATGTTGTCAACTTCAATATCCGGTGACAAACTCGCTCTTGACTACCTGCACCAATGCACATATGCAGGACGTATTATGTCAGCCGCTGGGGAAAACATACACGCACAATCCAGTACGTAATCCAACATCTCCAGTTTTGGATATGTGCATCTGATTACAGAGTTGATTACTTCAGAGTTCTACGGTCGAATCATATCTTGTAAAGTTGGGTCGAAAAGTAACTAACTATCAATGCATGTGAGTCTGCTCGGCATGCTACCTCACATGGTGGCGCATATCAATCGCGTGCATGGAAGCATGTCGGACTCAACCAAACGTGGTCACCTCCGACCAAGACGCCCGGCGCCGCCACACGCTTCTATGTATTTTGTATGTTGCTCATGCTAGCATGTGACTCGAGTCCCAGGGAAGTCATGCATCACATGTCACTTGCCTTGATCCATGATCGCTGTGCATGATCCGACGTTCGAAACTGACACAGCTCGTCTATTGGCATGGCATGGCGCACTTTGGCCGCGTTGACGTGTCCTGCGATCAATCATTCAGTCATTTGAACAAATTACCATGGTGGGTATCGGC